ATTTATTATTACAGGGGCTACCTCATCTCAACACATAGCTACAGTACCTAATGCAGCATATGAAGATATTAATAAATCTAATAAACTAAATATTAATGTTAATCCAGCTTATGGTGAGGTGAGAGGAACAACAACTGTACAGCAACAACACGTGACTTATGAAGAAATTAATTTTTAACAATTTTATAAAAAAATATAATAACATACTTTATACTTTTAACTCAAATTAAAATTATGTGAATCAATATCCTGGCCCTTTGCACTAATGCATGGTGTTGATTTGGTAAACATTCAGTATTAAACAGGGTATTTGAGAATTTGGCTTATTTAAAAAAATTGTCATAACTCAAAAATTTTAGCTCAAACTTTTTACATATAGCATAAGTACATCAATATGCATCAGAAAAAGTAATTAAGAAATGGACATTTGGTTAACATTTATTAACATTTGGTTTGTTCATCATTGATGCTTTATTTACTTTCTTTGTTAACGGAATGCTAATATCACAAGTAAAATAGTAATAATTCACACATTGTATTACATTCACATAATGTACATGTACATGTACATCCTCCATTTAGATATTAGCAGTATTGTGCAATAGAACATTTGTTGGTGAAGAGATACGGTCGTCTAGTGGGCAAACCAAAGGAATCTAAAATGAGTTTAATTACAGCAGTGTGTGGGCGTGGTTAGTTATTAATGGTTATTATTAATTAATTATTATTTTAATTACAGGTCCAATGTGGCTTTGGTGTCTACCTTTTACTAAAGCAAGAATACCTGATCCTATCCCTCCCTCTGATATTGCTCTTAATCAATTTGTTTAATTTATGAATCAAGGATTTAATTTTTTTAATTTTAAATATTCAATTGGCCAGTCATAGTGACACACCCCCACTATGCAGAGCAAAATGCTGCTTCAGATATTCTTCTTGCAACTTTTCCAGTTTATTTATAGTGCAGGTAAGAAGCAATTAATAGAATCCACTTCTTATTCCTTACAGAAATAACAGTTCAGCCAGTGTCTATTAATACAACACTCAACTCTACTGTTGTCTTCTCTTGTGAAGCTACTGCTGACGAACTTACTTTCAGAGTTAATAATACACCAGCTACTAATGGAGCTGCTATGGATAAAGGATTTAGTGTAACAACAAGTGGTAGTGGTGGTACTAGGAGTGCAGAGCTACAAGCAATAGCTTATGAACACAATAATAATACTGAAATAAGGTGTAGAGCTAGTACTGATGATCCTCCTCAAATAGTGTTTAGTGATACAGCAATACTAATGATACAAGGTTAGTGCTGGATATGTGTGTGTCATTAGTCACTTCTTTAGGTCTATTGGATAGTGTTGTTGATCTGGATTATACCTTTATTAATGGATCCAGTGTATTATTAACATGGACAGCTCCTTATACACTGGATAATGTACCTATCACTGGATACTATATAGTCAATGGATCAGTGAACATTACTACTACTAACAAGAGTATTATATTATCAGCTACTAATCCTGATCCTTGTATATTAAATAATGTATCAGTTTCTCCTATTAATGATGTTGGAATAGGTTCATCTAATAATATCAGTTTTTATTATGAAAGAGGTTAGTCCTACTATGGCTTCATGTATATGTTCACAGTGTATCTTTCAGTTCCTCTCATTACTCCTCCTGTATCAGTGGTACCAGTAATTGATGGACAACTAATATCATTGAATATCAGTATTAATGTAAGTATATTCACTATAAGCTCAATTGTAAACTAACAGGAAATGCATGCATAGCAAATGATTATTGTTGACATAACATTAGTTTGAGTTATTGCTACACACGCTCATTCAAACATAGGTCAGTACACTATGTAAAGGAGAGTATCCTAATAGTATAACAGTTAGTATACTGAATACTGATAACGCAGTAATAAACAATACCAGTATACCAACACAAGTTAATGATCAACTGATGATTACTGGAGTAATAACTGTACCTAATAATTTAAATACATTTATTGTTAATGTATCACTGAGTAATAATGGAGGAGAATATCTACCTATACCTTCTTTTGGATTTGGTAAAAAACTGCAGCGTTGCATATATTCTTTACTTCTCTTATACATTAGGTTTTCTTGGTCCAGTTACTAACATTGACTCTTCAATTGACAACTGTTCTACTATTGATATAACATGGACTGCTCCTACAGCTGATGATAGAGTATCTATACTGTATTACATACTAAGAATATATGATGCTATTACTGGTAGTCTAGTGGATACTGTAGCAGTATATGATACCAGTTATCAGTTTGTGGATAATAATTTATTTTTTCATCGTTATACATATGTTATAACTGGAGTTAATGAATTAGGAGAAGGAATATCTAATAATGATACATTCTCATATCAAAGAGGTACAATAAACAATAATTACTGAATAAATGATTTTATGTTTATTTAGTACCAAGAACAGTGACGGAAGCTGGTTCAGATATATTGACATTTAATCAATCTAGTGCTACTGCTTCCTTTAATATACCGGTACCAGTAATATCATGTTATTAATGTACTTTTGTCAACTTTAATAATTACAGATTACATTGGAGTGTACTGGTGAAGCTCCTGAGAATGCTACAGTTACTATACAGTGTAATGGAACTGGTGCTGTGTATTATAGCACATATTTAGTAGCAAATGCTCATTTACCAATGAATATAACAGGATCAGTACCAGTACCACTACATCAACAGTGTACCATCACTGTTGTATTTAGTAATGAGGCTGGTAGTAGTGAACCATTTATACTAGCATTTGGTGAGTATTCAGTAGTGCTCAGTATAATGTTAATGTACATGTATTATTCATCACATTATTATACAGACACTACTCTACCTATCAGTAATACACCATCTCCTACTAATACTCCATTAGTTACTAGCACACCAGGTATAACTTCACCTAATAGTACTGGTGAGTTATATAATACACAATATTATTATTATTATTTATATTTATATAGTTATCATCATACCAGTAGTAATATCACTGACTATTGTTATAATAATAATAATAATAACAGCAGTGTGTGTCACTGTGTTGGTGTTTGCTGTGTATAAAAGGAACAGGAATAGTAAGATAATGGTAATACTTATTAATTATTATTTATTATTACAGGGGCTACCTCATCTCAACACATAAGTACAGTACCTAATGCAGCATATGAAGATATTAATAAATTTAATAAATTAAATATTAATGTTAATCCAGCTTATGGTGAGGTGAGAGGAACAACAACTGAACAGCAACAACACGTGACTTATGAAGAAGTTAATTTTTAACAATTTTATAAAAAAAATATAACAGCATATTTTATACTTTTAACTCAAATTAAAATTATATGAATCAATATCCTGGCCCTTTGCACTGTATTTAGCAATGGTGTTGATTTGGTAAACATTCAGTATTAAACAGGGTATTTGAGAATTTGGCTTATTTAAAAATGTTCATAACTCAAAAATTTTAGCTCAAACTTTCTACATAGCATATAAGTATATCAATGTGTATAAGAAAATGTAATTAAGAAATGGACGTTTGGTTAACATTTATTAACATTTGGTTTGTTCATCATTGATGCTTTATTTACTTTCTTTGTTAACGGAATGCTAATATCACAAGTAAAAATAATAATAATCCACACATTGTATTACATTCACATAATGTACATGTACATGTACATCCTCCATTTAGATACTAGCAGTATTGTGCAATAGAACGTTTGTTGAAGTGAAGAGATACGGTCGTCCTGTGGGTAAACCAAAGGAATCTAAAATGAGTTTAATTACAGCAGTGTGTGGGCGTGGTTAGTTATTAATGGTTATTATTAATTATTATTTTAATTACAGGTCCAATGTGGCTTTGGTGCCTACCTTTTACTAAAGCAAGAATACCTGATCCTATCCCTCCCTCTGATATTGCTCTTAATCAATTCGTTGTTTAATTTATGAGTTAATAATTTTTAGTATTATTGATTTTTTAACGATGTAAATGATATTATTTTTACGGAATTGATTTGAATCATTATCAAAATTTTATGCAATTTCATAGAAATCAAAATATAAAAATGCCGAGTAACCATTTATCAAGGTTAAATATAAACTAATTTTAATAAAATAATTGCAATGTTGGCTGCAATTGCTAGCTCAGTCTACCTCAAAAGAAAGTCAAGCTCAAAAGCTACTCCCTTGGCATAGGCTTTTTAAAAATCAAGATGCTGTTTTTACTTTTCTTTCTTTTGCTGCAGCAATATGTATACTGTGCTAGTAAGTAGATTGTATCTGTTTTATTCATTTTATTGTCATTATAGATATAACAGTACAGCCAGTGTCTATTAATACAACACTCAACTCTACTGTTGTCTTTTCTTGTGAAGTTATTGCTGATGACCTTAGTTTCAGAGTTAATAATACACCAGCTACTGACGAAGCTAATATGAATAAAGGATTCAGTGTAACAACAAGTAATAATGGTGGTACTAGAAGAGCAGAGCTACAAGCAATAGCTTATGAATATAATAATAATACTGAAGTGAGGTGTAGAGCTAGTACTGATGATCCTCCTCAAATAGTGTTCAGTGATACAGCAATACTAATGATACAAGGTTAGCACTCTGTGACTGTGACATTATTTATCATTTCTCCTTCAGGTCTATTGGATAGTGTTGTTGATCTGAATTATACTTTTATTAATGGATCCAGTGTATTATTAACATGGACAGCTCCTTATACACTGGATAATGTACCTATCACTGGATACTATATAGTCAATGGATTAGTGAATATTACTACTACTAACAAGAGTATTATATTATCAGCTACTAATCCTGATCCTTGTATATTAAATAATGTATCAGTTTCTCCTATTAATGATGTTGGAATAGGCTCATCTAATAATATCAGTTTTTATTATGAAACAGGTTAGCATTACTATGGCTTCATGTATATGTTCACAGTGTATCTTTCAGTTCCTCTCATTACTCCTCCTGTATCAGTGGTACCAGTAGTTAATGGACAACTAATATCATTGAATATCAGTATTAATGTGAGTATATTCACCATAAGCTCATCACACAATGAGTAAACTAACAGGAAATGCATGCATAGCAAATGAATATTGTTGACATACTTCAGTTCACCTTATTCCCACACACACAAACTCATCCATAGGTAAGTGAACTATGTGATGGAGAGTATCCTAACAATGCAACAGTTAATATACTGAATATTAATAATGAGATACAAGATAGTACCAGTATACCAACACAAGTTAATGATCAACTGATGATTACTGGAGTAATAACTGTACCTAATAATTTAAATACATTTATTGTTAATGTATCACTGAGTAATAATGGAGGAAAATATCTACCTACACCTTCTTTTGGATTTGGTAAAAAACTGCAGCGTTGCATATATTCTTTACTTCTCTTATGCATTAGGTTTTCTTGGTCCAGTTACTAACATTGACTCTTCAATTGACAACTGCTCTACTATTGATATAACATGGACTGCTCCTACAGTTGATGATAGAGTATCTATACTGTATTACATACTAAGAATATATGATACTATTACTGGTAGTCTAGTGGATACTGTATCAGTAGATGATACCAGTTATCAGTTTGTGGATAATAATTTATTTATTCATCGTTATACATATGTTATAACTGGAGTTAATGAATTAGGAGAAGGAATATCTAATAATGATACATTCTCATATCAAAGAGGTACAATAAACAATAATTACTGAATAAATGATTTTATATTTATTTAGTACCACAATCAGTTACAGAAGCAGGTTTTAATATAGCAGCATTTAATCAAACTAGTGCTAATGTTTCCTTCAATATACCAGTAATATCATGTTATTAATATTTATTATTATCAAAATATTATTACAGATTACATTGGAGTGTACTGGTGAAGCCCCTGGGAATATTAGTGTTACTATAGAGTGTAATGGAACTGGTGTTGTATATAATGACACTACACTAGTGGAATATGCTAAACGACCAATGATCATAACAGGATCAGTACTAGTACCACTATATCAACAGTGTAATATCACGGTTGTATTTAGCAATGGTGTTGGTAGTAGTGATCCATTTATTCTAGCATTTGGTAAGTATTCATTCATATACTTATGTGTATTAAAACTATTATTTTTTATTAAAATTGTTTTAATAGTTGCAAATATTCTTCCTACAACTTCATCAACAAGTGCCACATCAACCATATCTCCAACTGTTTCAACAAGAACATCATCATCAGGTAATTCAGCTTATATTTATTAATACACAGAGTAATTGATTCATTATGTAGTTATCATCATTATAAGTGTCTTTGCTGGTGGTGGTTTAGTTATATTGCCTATGATTATAATTTTTTGCTGTTTATCACTGAGGTTATATCATAAAAAGAAGCTGCGCATTGAAAGAAGTTAGTGTCTTGTTTTAATCAAAAATAATATAATTATAAATAGGAGCTTCTGAGTCACATGGATTGCCTAATGAGCGAGTTTCATTTGATGGAGTAAGCTAATTATTTTATTATGTATTTGTATTTTTAATAATTATTTACAATAGTCTTCTGCCCATTCATCAGTAGGCAGTACTACTCAAGAGACAGTATGCTTATAAAATAAAAGAATATTTTGTTTATTTTATTTTTTAGAAACTCTGTCCTTCACAATCAACAAACACCAGTGAACCTCATGCTAGTACTACAAAGGAAGCTGCTACTGGAGGAGGAGCTACTGCTAGTGGTACTACTGTAATTGGAGCTACTGGAGGAGATACTAATCCACCAGCAATACCTGATGATGAGGAAAGTAAAGGAGCTACTTGAGGAGCTACTACTACTATTTAACACATCATGTTAATTAACGATGGTAAATATAATAGTTATATGCATCTTATTTGATATAATTTATTTAATTATCTTGTGTAGATTCACATTTTCCCTCAGCTCCTCCTCCTCTGCCTCTCCATTATCTTTTTACTTGTAATGCGTGCTATTAAAGCAAAAGCTGTGTGTTTGATTATAGACTGGCCTCACTCAGACTGGTTGTATATGTCTATCATTTTTAATGTCTATAGTATTTAAATAATGATATTGATTGTTATATTTTTTATAATTGCTTTAACACATTTCATTTAATTGTCAGATTGGTCTTGTTTTTTTTTTAATTAATGTCTTTATGCTATGTAAAAGCATGAGCTAATAATTAGAGCTTAAATTTTTGAGTTATAGCCAGTGAAAAATGAACCAATCAATTTATAAAGGAACCCTTGTGAAAAATGGTTTTAAAATCACCCGTAATTTTTAATTGATGTAGTTATGCTATGAAAAGAGTTCAAGCCAAACTGAACTTCAATTTTTAAAGTTATGGCAATTTTATTTTAGCCCCGCCCATTATTATTATTTTTTACATGGCGGCCAATCACAAGCTCCTGTAGAGATGGTGTTTCATAAAGATCCTCTTGGGATAATCGTCTTCCTTTCTGTGCATCTCCTCCTCCTCTACGGGGATATTGTTGTCGTTTACTATGTCATTGAATATGGCGGAGAACACGAAGGGTGAGAAGAAAAGTGGCTGTTATAATAATTATTATTATTAGCACTAATAATTATTCTATTTTTGTGTTTGTTAGATCTGGTCGTACAGTAATGGCTCTTTTTGTTCATTTATTCTACATTATGGCTGCTTTCTCTCATTTGAGGGCTGCATTTTCTAATCCAGGTAAGTGAGTGACACACCCTTTTACTTTAGTGACACCCACACTAATTAATTAATTTGTAGGATATGTACCACAGTCGAGAATAAAAATTGATTTTTCGTCTGATATTGAGCAAGGAAAGAAGAAAAGGAAGAAGGTTTGTTTGATAAATATAATGAAAAAAAATTATTAATTAAATGATAATTATTATTATTAGGAGTTGCCTAGTTTTGATGAGTGGACAGTTTGTACGAAATGTGAAACCTATCGACCGCCAAGATCCCACCACTGCAGGTACTGCATGCACTAGATCACATGATTAATGAGTCACGTGACTTGGTTAGGATTTGTGGACGCTGCGTGAGACGAATGGATCACCACTGTCCATGGTACGCCCACGTATATTGATTAAATGTGTTTTAGCATTAATTTTTATATTAGGATTAATAATTGTGTTGGTGAACTCAATTTTAAATATTTTTATTTATTTCTAGTATACACTGGTAAGTTATTATTAATTTTATTATCATTATTATTATTATTATTATTATTATTATTATTATTATTATTATTAATAGATTTACTATGCTGCTATGCTTTCATACTGGTACTGTGGGATTGGGTTTCAAACTGGCACAAGGAGGTGGAGCAGGGGAAACTGGATCGGTGAAAAACAATAATAAAACTATTGTCTATTTTTAATCATTTGTTTAGGATCTTAACTCTCATCGTGTTTTTCGAGATTATGATTTTTGGTGTCTTTCTCGGAGGAATGATATTTGCACAAGTTAGTTGACCACGCCCACAAATGACCACGCCTTTTTATACCCACCACCAGACACTAGCAGTATTGTGTAATCGTAATGCCATTGAGATCAGAAGATACGGTCGGCCCATGTCATTCCCAAGTGTCTCAAAGATTAGTCTTATCACTGGCGTATGTGGGAGAGGTTAGTTAATACCATGTATACATTATGAGCCACGCCTCCTCTTAAGGTTCGAAGATCTGTTGGATAGTTCCATGTGTCACTGCTCACATTCCCGAGCCCATTCCGCCGTCTGATAAATTCACAGACATTAACCAATTTATATAAGAGGGAGGGAGAAACGAGAAGATATTTTTTATATTAATGAATTATAATTAATAGTTATAATAATAATGATTGCAGTTTCTATTAATACTAATTCTTCCTCAATACATGATCCACACACACACACAGAGAAGCTACTGATGAAGTACCATTGCTGTTACACCAGTAGCTAGAGCAGCCAGGCCGTGTATTCCTAGTGTAGCCCATGATCCAAATAATATTAATAAATTATTAAATAGGATTTGACGATATATAATGATGGATATGAGGACACCTAATAGAGAGAGAACATTAATAGATGTGTCTTTCCTGCTCCATAGCCACAAGAAAGTACAAACTGAGAAAATGAATATCTAAACAAAAAGATAATTAAAGGAATAAAATTATTACACTACAAATCATAAAAGCATAATTTATAACAAGATTTGTATGTGTCTCCTCACTAGATTGAAGTTTGATATGAAGCTCATTTGTATGTATTTCCAATCAAATTCTGTTCCTCTGGCCCCAAACCACAACGGGAGGAATCTTGTAGCTATAGCCTCACTTGATGCCCAACCTAAAAATGTATTAATCTAACGGTTAATTTTTGCAAATCAGTCAAAAATGAGCAGTGTGGATCATAAAATTTTAATCAAGTTTTTGTATCGTTTCTTACCAATAGCGGTAACTAATATTTTCTTGTCTCCTTTCCCTAGCAGTTTAGTTATTATTAGATAAAGTCCAAGTATGTCAATTACATCAACTGAACACTTTACAAAATCCTGTTCAATAACTATTAATAACTAGCCACACCTACAAAACACTAACCATTAATAATGTTTCATCGTCCGTTTCACTTTGAGGATAAAAAGTGGCCAGTAACATCATCTGAAATAAAAAGAAAAATCACGTGATGGTCACATGATAATGTGTACTTTAACTAATTGGGTTAGAACGTAAGCCACGCCTACCCTCAGACAACTCCATATTGATGAAGATTCCATCCTATAGAATAAGATCACGTGATTAGAGGAAAAAAGGAGGGAACACTTACAATCCAGAGAATCTATAGGTGATAACCAGTGGCCCATAAGTCAGGGCAACACAATTTATAAAATGGAAGAAAGTCATTTCACATGTACAGTACCGCCCACGCAACTAACTCAAGCAAAAACCCACGCCCATCCACGTGGTTACAGTACTAATAATAAATAACTTTTATTATAATACAATAATTAAATGAATCTGTTACACATTGCAATAATTTTAGAGAATTTGTCTTTCCTGAGTCTCATCTTGGTTGGTAGTGGTATCGATATTCTAGTACCCACAGGTTCATTCTTCTCATTAAGGAGTACAATGTACCACTTGTCGTATACAGGCAGGTCCTTGCTAGGCCGAGTGTTAGTCACTATCATTGCATTGTGGACCTTTCCTCTGTGAGCTATCTTTATTATGTCACCGAATCCAGCCACCTTATTGTTCTTGGGTAGGGCTATACAGTACGGCCTGTCAGTTAATGTGGTTTTCTTTGCGTTGATGGAATTATCAGCGAAATACAGTTTCGTTAGCTTTATAACTGATCGGACCTGAAGAGATGAGAAAGGAGAAACACAGAATGACTTGAGTTCTTTGAACAACGCCATTTTATTATAGCCACACCCATTGACAAACTAAGCCACGCCTTTATTTTATTTTTATTCATGATCAAACAGATCAATCATTATCGTTATCGTTATTGATTAAAAGTAAGCGAAAATTGCAAATCAATTACTACAACACTGATCCTTTATCTCTTAATTCTTTCTAATGTTTCTATCAGATCAAGGATATACAAATATGGTTATGCAAACTACAAAGGAAATTAAGCATTCAATTTCAAATTATACTGCACTTCCTGACTGATTCCGTGTTTCTATACTAATTTGTTAATAAAACTGATAATAGAAGAGGTATGACTTTTGTCATGGGTGTAGTGGGTTCACTGGGTTTTATTGGATTGCATGCAAAGGTCGCTGGTTGACCTAATAATAAGAAATTCCCTTCACTTTTCACTAAAATTCTATAAAAATTAAAATAATAATATTTACAAAAATGATTATAAATCGTAAAAACCTGAAATGAGTGTATGAATGAGCTATGAATAATAATGAGTCCGTGATTGAATCATGAATATTTAATGAGTGCACCACGATCAATTGAATATATTGTCAACCGTCCCCTGTGTTATTGTTGGCATGCTACCAGCTGGTATATTAAACATAGGCAATGATGAAGAAGACAGTGTTATAGAAGCAGCAGCTGTAGTATTAATGTCACTCTCATTAGTGCTAAAACCCTCTCCACTGCCTCCTCCTATCAGTGATGACATTATCAATCCTTCGTTTAGCTCTTCTTCACTTCCCCTTCCTTCCTGACAATAGCTTTGATCATCTTTACCAGGAATGTTGTTATTATTATTATTTAAGCTGAAGCTTCTCCTGTCATCCTTCTTCACATTTGGTATTGAGCTTTGCGAAGAACCAGAGCTGATATACTTAGCTATTGTATCGAAATTGAACTTGTACACGTATCTCTTCCCATGCACTTTATGCATTATTTTCTTATCATAGTAATAACGAATGGCCCTGCTCAACTTGTCATAATTCATACTAGGTTTGCGTTTCCTCATACCCCACAGCATAGAAACCGCCTCTGGGTCCTGGAGCTTAAATTCTCCATCGTTCCCGGCCCACGTTATGATATTGGAGTGTTTCTCATCTTGTAAAAGCTCCAACAAAAACTGCCACAGTTGTATCTGACCTAATTTAGCAAAGAAAGAGAGAGAGAGAGAGAGAGGTAGTGAACGCTAACTGCATGTACATGCATGTACTCATTGATACGGCTTCATAAATATGTACTCTAGACTATGTACTATATATTGTTGTTGGACATGATAGTACACATCGATACATAAAAGCATGTAATGCTACATGCATGTACATGTACTTGTGTCTGTGCGTGTTTGTATTATTGATTGTGTATTGTTAATGATAGTGAAAGACAAACTAAGACTAGCCAAGAGAGAGAGATATACAGTTGTACTAGTTTTGAACCATTGCCAAATCTACTGGCAGTCAACTCCAGGTAGCCAGTGTGACAGCTAGTCATATCAAGGACATATTGTACATGTACATGTACATAATAAACAATACATGTAGTCGTGTATGTATTATTATGTAGATGTACGTATTGTCATTGTACTAGGTGTAGACATTAAGTTACCTTGATGTGATATGAATGGAGATATATTAGCAAGAGAAGGAGGTGGCGGTATCATCATTGCTGTGGAGGGGAGATGAGATAGAGGGGAAGAGGGTTGGCCCATGGTCAGCTTAAGTACAGGAGAGAGAAGAGGAGAGGAGACTTTTGTATGTGTTGAGGGAATGTTCTTGAAATGAAGTGGAGAAGAAGTTGAGCCTGTATTGAATGCTGTAGACCAGTCAAATATACCAGCAGCTGTCGTCTGATCGACCCTACCATCTGATAATAAAATAAATAAAAATAAATACATATATAATTCATGATAAATAATAATGTATGCTTGTATATAAGTCTTTATCATTAATGAGGTCAATAAGGAAGTAGGTTTGTGTGTGTTCTGTTGTTATCAAAAGGCGAGGCACTCAATATCCTAACCACCAATGTTAGTCTTTTACTGACTACTCCCTCCAAACCCCAACCTGCCTATCATTAACGTATCCCTCATGCAATACAGCCCTGTATAATGTAATACCGTCCCATATAGCCCTGTATAATATAAATCATGCATTAATATAATATTATTAGTTATAGTCCTGTGTTATTTAATACAGTACAATAATGATAGTGTTTTACTGTATCATTGAAACTGTACACTAGTGGATTCAGGATGCACTGTAGCTTAATTGTAATTTAAATTGGCATTGTGTGCGTGTATGAGTGAGTGTATATTGTGTACTTAGGAAACTGGTGAGGAAGGAAGTACAAACAATATTACATCATTAATTAGGAATACCTCTCAGTCTGTTAGCACTGGTGCCAGGAGTATTGCTACCCAGAGGATAAGAGATACCTGTTAAAGTCATTGGACTTATTATCTGTCCTGCTGCAGCAACTATAAAGTAATAATTTCATGATGTCAACTTGCACTCTTCCTTTGACTACCCACACATTCTTACCTGCTGGGTAAAATCCCGCCGCAGCTGCAGCTGCTGCTCTCATTTGAGGACTATTCAAATAAATTTGTTCAGGATTGCTGCCACCTACAGCTCCAGTCGATTTATTCGGCTGCAATACAGACCCAGTGGCATAGTCTATTAATTATTTATAAAAAGAGAGAGAGAGAGATGGTGAGATGAAGGGATGAGTGTTTTTGTCTACCTTGCTGTGCCTTGAGCCAATAAGAGATATCACCGACTGATGCTCCTGGCCATAGATAATTAGTCCAGCCCAGTGAAGAATAATTGCCTGTACAAAGTGATAATTAATGAAAGACATGAGACATTTGTACTTTTCTGTTCTCCGTCTGGTAATTGATTTTCTGTTGAGGCAACCTTGATGTCAGCAATGACATCGCTTGATTTAGACATTGCAGCTATGATATATAATGACAAGGATTACTATTAATATATATTTATATTTTTATTATATATTACTATTTCTAGTGCAGAGAAGGTTGAGGTGTGATAGTAATACTTCCCCAGTGTGTGGCGGAGCACGTCTCATGAAATCTTCTTTAGAAAGCGAGAGAAGTTGCTCTCCGGTTAGTGCAAACTGCGACAGGTCGAACTGCTCTAAACTGAATTCTTTGACAGCCCATGATAGCCATTGTGACACATGCTCGACGCTCCAAGTGTTTGGATCTAAGCAAATAAATGCATTATGTAAACATTGTGATAGTCATTGGTGATATAATGGTGGCTGACCTTGTGGCAAGAAAAGACTCTCTCCACCTGTAGCTTCATGATGTTGCTCTTGTTTCAAGCCTAGAGTAGACCCATAGAGGACATTAGAGGCTGTATTACTGGAGCTTGTGCTGCTGCAAACTGGTGGCGAGTTGCTAGCTGTGGGCCTCTTAGAAGAGCTACTTGTCTCCTCTGCTTCATCATTGCTACTGCTGCTGGTTCGTTCCCGCTTGCGGGAGGAACTGTCTTCCTTAGCGACCGCAGTAGATGAGCTATTACTAGTCGTAGTAGGAACTGGAGCATCATGAGTTTTCATTACTAATGGAGGGGATCCTCTTCCTCCGGTAGGACTACTCCTGCTCCCGGGACTGGTTGGCGGTTCTTCTTGCTGCAGCTCAAACTGTTTAGCAGCATCATCAAGAGTGTTGAAGCTATGCCTTCGAGGGCCTCCTCCTGTCTTGCTAGTGTTGCTGAGTGAAGAAGACATCATGAGAGCAAGCATCAGGAGAGGAGAACAGTGGTTGCAATCTTTGTAAAAATTGTTTTAAAAAGTGAAAGAGAGAGTCTTCTTTTTCTTTCTCCCTCTTGCAGTGATTGATACAAAGTGCAGTAGATTTGTAGCTATTTTTTTATGACTTGACTATAAGTAGCAGTCCCAGGAAACTGTCAGGAAGCTTTCAAGCATAATTATGATAACACTTCTCATTAATTATTCATTATGCTAAGTCAATCAATTTAATTATTACAACAATTAATTAAATTGCAGCAGCACAGTAGCAGCTGCTGTCCTAAGAATTAAAGAATTTCTGTCTTTCCTTCTTCTGTTCGTTTCTTAGTTTCTTATAATTGTACATTTTATTGTATTAGTTATTAGATCTATGGTGCTATGATGTCTGAAACTCCTACCAGTGATGAAGGAAGAGGAAGAGCAGGAGGAAGGAAAAGAGTAGGATGGTGGAGGCGGTTCAAAGGCAAAGGCGATGATGAAGGGATACAGGAACTGAAGAAAGAATTCAAAATGGCAAGTTATAGCAATTAGTAAAACAAATAATAATTTATTTTCAATTATTATTATTATTACTACAGGATTCACATATGATACCATTGGAAACTCTACTTGATAGGTTGAATACAAATGTTGAGGAGGTATTGTTGTAATTATTATTATTATTATTATTATTATTATTATTAATTTGTCGTTTTTCTTGGTAGGGGCTAAGCGAAGATTATGCAGCTGCAGTTTTAGAAAGAGACGGCCCGAATGCTCTCACTCCTCCAAGACAGACTCCAGAGATAATCAAATTCCTCAAACAATTATTTGGAGGATTTGCTGCTCTTCTTTGGGCCGGAGCCTTTCTCTGCATCGTATCATTCATAGCTCAAGTTGTACAAGGATCAACGGAATTTGATAATGTAATTTATATGATGTAGCATGTAATGCTTAGCATGTATTGGAGCGTATTGTATTGTACTATTGTATTGATGAATGGTAACAGATTGTATATGTACATGCACACAGTTGTATTTAGGTATTTCACTGATTGTTGTCGTCATTATTACCGGTATATTCTCTTATTATCAAGTAAAGAGAGAGAGAGGGAGAGAAAACATTTTAACTATTTGTTTTTAGGAAGCTAAAAGTGCTAGCATTATGAAAACATTCTCAAAACTTGTACCACAGGTTAACCAGTACAGGATATTATGCATAATTATTATAATACAGTGCAGCCTCTTTAATAAGGACACCTTTATAATGAGGGCATTTTCTAATGTCCCAATTGGTACAAGCCTATACAAAAGTACCTCTGAAATGAGGACACCTCTGTATTAAGGACAGGTAGTGTCGGCCTGATGGTGTCCTTAATAAAGAGGCTACACTGTACATGTATTAAGGACAGATAGTGTGGGCCATGGTGTCCTTAATAAAGAGGCTACACTGTACATGTATTAAGGACAGGTAGTGTGGGCCATGGTGTCCTTAATAAAGAGGCTACACTGTACATGTATTAAGGACAGGTAGTGTGGGCCATGGTGTCCTTGATAAAGAGGCTATACACTTGTACATTATTATTATCATTTATATTATAGACAGCAGTGGTAAAGAGAGGTGGTAGATTGTATCCATTATCAGCAGATGAGTTAGTTGTTGGTGATATTATTGATGTCAAAGCCGGCGATAGGTTGCCAGCTGATATAAGACTAATAAAATCATCTGGTTTTAAAGTAAATAATAATTATTTGGCAGTAGTAGCCTCTTCCTGATATTGTTATTAAATAATAAATAAGGAAATGTATAATAGCCAATCTCTCTGATCCCTCTCCTCCTCTCTCCCTCCTTTCTCCTCTAAAGAAATGGCCTCCATAAATGATACTTGAATTATCCTCCCTCTCTCCTCCATTAGGTTGATAACAGTGCATTGACTGGTGAATCAGATCCTTTGCTTCGTGTCCCAGACTCTTGTGATGAAAATCCACTGGAAACTAAAAACCTTGCATTTTTCTCAACCAATGCTGTAGAAGGTACATGTATATCACATTACTATTGTTATTGTTAATCTTCCTTGTTGATGTTATTCCTCTTCTTCTTCTTGTTGTTGTTGATGTTATTCTCCTTTTTCTTGTTGTTGTTGTTGTTGATGTTATTCTCCTTTTTCTTGTTGTTGTTGATGTTATTCTTTTTCTTCTTGTTGATTCTATTATTCTTGTTTTTAGGTACATGTACAGGTATAGTGGTTAACACAGGTGACCGTACAGTGATGGGTAGAATTGCAACACTGACCAGCACAATAAAGCAAGAAAGTAAATACATGATCATACATGCATAACATGAGAGTATAATATTTTTGTTTATACGTAATATCATCTCTTCCTATTGTACGTATCTATTACTCTCTTTTGTTACGCTCTTTCCTTTCTCTCTCTTCCTCTTTCTCTCTTCCTTCCTCATGTATCCCCAGATGTTTTTAGTCTATTAATGCAATCATGTAGTCAATTTGTACCTCAACATTTGTAATACATGTGTATTTAATTATCTACCCCCTTCCCTCTCCCCTCTCTCTCTCTCCCCCCTCTCTCTTTTCTCAGAGACTCCAATAGCGATTGAGCTCCATCACTTCATTATGATCATAACTTCAGTTGCAATTGTTCTTGGAGTGACATTCTTTGCCATTTGCTTCATACTAGGATATGAGTGGATCGATGCAGTCCTGTTTCTTATTGCAATCATAGTGGCCAATGTACCTGAGGGATTACTAGCTACAGTCACTGTATGTCTACATTATGTTATGTATGTACACTGTATATGTATCAGGTTTGCCATTAAACATATGCTTCAATATGGAGTAACTTTAAAAATTCATAAAAAATCTAATTTTGATCGGAATTAGCTCAAATTTGAAACACAGCTTAAAAACTTGTATATGCATCAGGGAAAATTATAAAAGTGGAGAATTCTCACCTTGTCATTTTTGGCAAAATTCAGCTCGTGACCCTGTACTATAGTACAAGGATTTTGGCCTGATTTTTTAGCAACTTTAAAATTTGTATAAAATGATCCGAATCAGCTCAAGCTTCATATAACATACATATAAGTACATGTACATGTATATACATCAGCTGAGATCTATGCCAAAAATGACAAAATCCTGTGGGAAACCTTCGTACATGTACATGTATGTACATGCAACACATGTATGTATGTACATGTATGTGTATTCATGTATTTGTCAAGGGAGGAAGGAACAAAAATAAATTATCATTATAATAATAAACCAGCTAGTCTATAGGGGAGGAAAAAGGAACAAAAACAAAGAATATAAATATATCATTGTTTTTGCTGTTAATTATTAATTAGGTTTGTTTAACGCTGACTGCTCAAAGAATGAAGATTAAGAATTGTCTTGTTCGTAATCTAGAAGCAGTGGAGACATTAGGATCAACCTCAGTGATATGTTCAGATAAAACTGGGACACTCACTCAAAACAGAATGACAGTTGGTTAGCATTACATATACTAATGTAGCTGGAATTGTTTTTACTTTTTTTACATTTTAAATGCATATACTGTAGCTCACATGTGGTATGATGGTAAAGTGTTTGGTGCTAATACAGATGAGACTCCAAATAACCCACTGATAACTAGAAGAGTAAGAATTATTATTATTATTATTTACTGTTGTTATTATTATCATTATCAATATACATGCTGTATGTATAGGAGATGACTCCTACATGGAATCATTTATCAAACATCATTGGTCTATGTAACAGAGCTTATTTTAAAGAAAATCAAACTGGACTTAATATACTAGACAAGTTAGAGCATTTAAATTAGAGTATACTAGTATCAATACTGTATTGTAGTATTATGATAGTATTAGTGTGTATTGTAGGTGTATTTATATTGTGTTGTATTACATTAGAGAGTGTATTGGTGACGCGTCTGAGTCAGCTTTATTGAAGTGTTATGAGTTGGAGGTCGGAAGTGCTCTAGTTTTACGAAATAAGTATATCAAGAAATCTGAAATACCTTTCAACTCTACCAACAAATTTCAAGTACATTTTATTTATTTATCTATCTATTCATTTATTTATTTATTTATTTATTTATTTATTTATTTATTTCCTCATCAGGTATCTGTACATGATGATCCTGAAACTGATGGTCATTTACTAGTAATGAAAGGTTTAATTAATTAATTTATTTATGACTAATTAATTAATTAATTATAGGGGCACCTGAAAGGATATTGTCTCGTTGTACAACATATTTATTAGATGGAGAGGTTAATTAAGTTTATTTGTTTTTATTGTTGTTGTTGTTTTAGGAGATGCCGGTTACTAATGACTTTAGTAAGGATTTTAATGATGCTTACATGGAGCTAGGTGGAATGGGAGAAAGAGTTCTAGGGTAACAATAACAAAGTTTTTATAATTATAATTATAGTAATAATAATAATTTTTTAATAGTTTCTGCATGTTACAGTTACCTGGTGAGACATTTCCTAAAGGTTTTGAATTCAACAACGAAGAGGTAGTTCATAATAATAATAATAATAATAATTATTATTATTATTATTATTATTGATAGGTTAATTTTCCATTGGAGGGTCTGTGTTTTGTTGGTTTGGTCTCAATGTTAGATCCTCCGCGGTCCAATGTACCGTTAGCCGTTAGTAAGTGCCGGACCGCGGGTATTAAAGTGATAATGGTAACTGGCGATCACCCTATCACTGCTAAAGCCATTGCCAAATCAGTCGGAATCATAAGTGAAGGTATTTATTATACAGCTACATGTATACAGTATAATGCTTTTTGGAGCCAATTTATGAAAAAAATCTTTAAAAATTGTGCTTGTACATGTAGGATGTACATGTACATATAGCTCAAGAATTGCTATGACCTTTTTGCACTGAATATTGTATGTAAAGTACATGTACATTATCAAGAGAGTACATAATAATGACTCTCAACATTGTGTGTATAATGTACATCTTGTTGTAGGTAGTTTGACTCCTGAAGATGTTGCTGAAGCCGAGACTATAACAATAAACGAGATAAGAGCAAAGTAACACCATAAGCTGTCAAATTTACCTTGAATTTCACCTCAACACTTGTTGTACCCACACACACACACACATACATACATACATTGTACATACATACACTGTACATACATAATGACACGGTCACACTTACATTAACAGCCAAGCAAAAGCGATAGTAGTTCACGGAAGCAAGCTAGCTGTGAGTTAGATCATCATTTAATTAATTAGCTGATACATACATGTATATACTATACTAGGACATGAATAATGATGAAGTTGACGGTGTATTAAATAATTACAACGAGATAGTGTTTGCTCGTACTTCACCGACTCAAAAGCTAAGGATTGTGGAAGGATGCCGTAGGGCAGGTTGGGTTGTGGCTGTCACTGGAGACGGAGTGAATGATGCACCAGCACTGAGGAGAGCTAATATTGGTACTGTTGTTGTTTATTGTTGTTTGTTGTTTATTGTTGTTGTTGTTTATTAGGTGTTGCTATGGGTATCACTGGATCTGATGTCTCTAAACAGGCTGCTGATATGATCCTTTTAGATGATAATTTTGCTTCAATTGTCACAGGAGTTGAAGAAGGTAGTCATTATTATTATTATAACTATTAATTTAGACATTTATTATTATTATTATTATTATTAGGTCGTCTGATATTTGATAATTTAAAGAAATCAATAGCATATACTCTAACGTCGAACATACCAGAGATCACTCCATTCCTAATCTTCATACTAGCATCAGTCCCACTGCCACTGGGTATCGTTACAATCCTCTTCATTGATCTAGGGACAGACCTTGTCCCTGCTGTATCACTAGCTTATGAAAAGGCAGAGAGCAACATAATGGAGAGGAAACCGAGAGATGCCAAACGGGACAAACTAGTTAATAACAGGTTTGACTAGCTTAATGTAATATGCTTTAAATTAAGTCACTTTTAATTGCGTGAAGCAAATATTGGGAATTTAGTAGGGGCTTTCTAAATGCTAGATTAAAGTGACAGATTAGTTTACAGTTCACCTAAAATTACAATAATAATGACTTATTTCATAAGGAGTCTTAATGTACCTATAATTATAATTATAACTTATTAGGTTAATATCTATGACATACGGGCAGATTGGTATGATCCAAGCACTGGCTGGTTTCTTTACTTACTTTGTTATAATGGGAGAGAACGGGTTCCTACCTCTTACTCTACTGGGACTACGCTCTGACTGGGATAACAGGGACCTACACGTCACTGATAGCTACGGACAAGATTGGGTACTTAAAATAAGAAATAACATACATGTATTGCTACATCTCTGTCCCTCTTTTCTTCTTTCTCTCTTTCCCTTTCTCTTTCTCCCCTTTCTTCTCTCCTCTCTCCTTCCTTTAGGGTTATGGTCCACGCAAGCAGTTAGAATACACTTGTCACACTGGGTTCTTTGTTAGTATCATAATAGTACAGTGGGCTGATCTCATTATCTGTAAGACAAGACTCAACTCTCTTTTTCAGCAAGGATTTAAGTATGGAATTTTAATGACATACATTAATAATAAGCCATAATCATTATTATTATTATTATTATTATTATTATTATTATTATTATTTTAGGAATCATTACTTGACCTTTGGCCTCATATTTGAGACTACCCTGGCTGTGTTCCTGGCCTATTGTCCGGGCCTTGAGAACCTAAGGTTTTATGGTCTTAGGTTTGAGTGGTGGTTTGTCGTTGTAGCATTTAGTCTCTTAATATTCATTTATGATGAAATAAGGAAGCTATTGATCAGAAGGAATCCTGGAGGTAATTAAGTTGTTGTTATTGTTGTTGTTGTTAATATTTGTTTATTATTTAATAGGTTGGGTTGAGAAAGAAACTTATTATTAGACACTATTAGAATTCATAATAGCTAGCCACGTATCATTACTATTATTATTATCATTTTAGAAGTGCAAAAGTGTATTCATACTATTCAAATTTAAACAGTTTCCCGCTTTGACTAAGCGCATAAGGCGGAGCTCGAGCAATGTTCATATACTAAAAGTGTACGGTCTATTTCCGTATACTAGTCACACGTGCGTTAACATGGCCGACAGTGTCTACCCCTCTTGTCTACTTGAAGGAGATCCTAGCCTTCCTATAAAGAACATTGAAGACAAATGGAAGCTCCTTCCCGCCTTTCTCAAAGTCAAGGGTCTAGTTAAGCAGCACCTGGACTCCTTCAATTACTTTGTCAGTACAGACATCAAGAAGATAGTGAGGGCCAATGACCTGGTCATTAGTGATTTCGACCCATCATTTTATCTGAAGTATTTGGATATATACGTTGGTACCCCATTGGTGGAGGAGTCCCTGAACGTATGTACACAGATTACCCCTCAGGAGTGCAGGCTGAGAGATATGACGTATTCAGCACCTGTCACTGTTGACATTGAGTATACTAGAGGGACCCAACGGGTTCGGAGGAAAGGTATTTTAATTAAAAGTGTGGGTGTAGTAATAGTGTAGACACAGATATAGGTCCTGTTTTAATTGTGCATTTGATCAAATTTGGAATTTTTATGAATTTTTTAAAGTTGATCTAAAACCTGGCTGAAGACTATGGGTTATAGTACAGGGTCTTTGGCTAAATTTCACCAAAAATGACTAGGAGAGGTTTTTCAATTTTTATAATTTTTCCTGATACATATACATGTTTTTATGTTGCTTTTCAAGTTTGAGCTGGTTCCGATAAAAATTGGATTTTTTACGAATTTTAAAAGTTACTCCAAAATCAGGCCTGAGTCCCTGTACTATAGTACAGGGTCTTTCGCTAAATTTCACCAAAAATGACTAGGAGAGATTTTTCAATTTTTATAATTTTTTCTGATACATATACATGTTTTTATGTTGCTTTTCAAGTTTGAGCCGGTTCTGATAAAAATTGGATTTTTTACGAATTTTTTAAGTTACTCCAAAATCAGGCCAAAGTTCCTGTACTATAGTACAGGGTCTTCGGCCAAATTTTGCCAAAAATGACTAGGAGAGTTTTCTCAAGTTTTATATTTTTTTCTGATGCATATACATATTCTTATGTTGTTTTTTTAAGTTTGAGCTGATTCTGATCAAAATTGGATTTTTTATGAATTTTTAAAGTTGCTCATAAACCCAGCCAAAGACCATGCATGGGCTATAGCACAGGGTATTTTGTTAAAAATGACTAAGAGAGAATTCTCCATTTTTCTTGCACTTTCTGCATGTTCTTTGCTATTATTAATGCTGCATTTTTATTAGGTTTTTCCATTGGTCAGCTACCTATAATGCTGAGAAGTGCCAACTGTGTCCTATCAAATAAAAACCAGGAGGAACTAGCAAAACTGAAGGAGTGTCCGATTGATCCTGGTGGATATTTTGTCGTCAGAGGGACGGAAAAAGTCATACTGATTCAGGAACAATTATCTAAAAATAGAATCATCGTTGATTACGATAAAAAGGGAAACATTGGCTGCTCCGTGACCTCTTCAACTCACGACAGAAAGAGCAAGACGAACCTGATATTCAAAGGGAATCAGTTCTATTTAAAGCACAACTCATTCACAGATGACATCCCAGTAGTCCTCGTCTTTAAAGCAATGAATATCATCAGCGATCAAGAGATAGTCCAAATGATTGGTTGTGAAGATTCAGTTCTCTCAGTATTCGCTCCTTCCCTTGAAGAGTGTGCGATGCTTAATGTCTACACCCAAAAGAAAGCTCTTGAAGTTGTCGGAGCTAAAACAAGGAAGAGAATGTACGGGAAACCGAGATCAAAGGCAGAAGAAGCTCATGATGTTCTCTCTCATTACGTACTAGCTCACATTCCTGTTGAATCTAACGACTTTAAAATTAAAGCGTCTTTCCTTAGTTTAATGATAAGGAGAGTCATACTAGCGACTGCAAAGGACGAAGTTGACGACAGGGATTACTATGGTAACAAGAGGCTGGAGTTAGCCGGGCCCCTTCTCTCTCTTCTCTTTGAGGATTTATTCAAACGATATAATTCAGAATTGAAGAAGATTATTGACAGGACTTTGGCAAAGAAGAGGACACAGCCATTTGACGTTGTTTGTCACATGAAGAACTCTATCATCACTCAAGGGATCGAGACTGCCCTGTCCACAGGGAACTGGACTCTCAGACGATTCAAAATGGAAAGAGGAGGAGTGACACAAGTAGGTATACTAGTTATGAACTGTTATGATGTTATGTTGTTATTGCAATTTATATTGCATCATTCCTTGAAGACATAATTATTGAAATATGTTGTTTATTTTGATTTTTTGACTTCTCTACCAATTAGATTAAGTTAAATGTACTTTTAACCAAAACATTTATAACACGAGTACATTATATACTTTTGGTATTAATGATGATGTGCCTATAATTCTCTCTCTTCTCTCTGCCCTTAGGTCCTGTCTCGTATGTCCTTCATTGCTTGTCTAGGTCACATGACTAGGATAACGAGTCAGTTTGAGAAGACGAGGAAGATCAGTGGCCCAAGGTCCCTCCAGCCCTCCCAGTGGGGGATGGTGTGTCCCTCTGATACTCCGGAGGGGGAAGCGTGTGGTCTTGTTAAAAACCTTGCCCTCATATCCCATATAACCACTGATGTTGATGAAGGACCGATAAGACGACTAGCGTTTAATTTAGGAGTTGAGGACATTCGTTATCTGTCGGGGGAGGAACTCTCGTCCAATGAGTCTTACCTTGTATTGCTCAATGGTAATATAGTGGGTGTGGTTAGATACTACGCCTCTTTTGTACGATATTTCAGATTATTGAGACGTAACGGAAGAATGAACGAGTTTGTATCAATATCCACGAATCATCACAATCGCACTGTCAGCATTTCCTCTGATTCTGGTCGTGTCTGTCGTCCCTATATCATAGTGATCAACGGAGTCCCTAGGGTCACCTCCCATCATATTGACCTCATCTCTAAAGGGATGGAATTCGAAGACTTCCTTGCCAAAGGACTCATAGAGTATCTTGACGTCAACGAAGAAAACGATTCCATGATAGCCTTGTATGAGTCTGACATTAACAGCAGTACCACCCACCTTGAGATCGAGCCATTTACCATATTAGGAGTGTGTGCTGGTCTGATTCCGTATCCCCATCACAACCAGTCGCCACGGAACACGTACCAGTGTGCCATGGGTAAACAGGCCATTGGTACGATAGCTTATAACCAACAGAACAGGATTGACACTCTCCTCAATATAATGATATACCCACAGGCTCCGATTGTTAAAACCCGTACTATTGATCTTATAAAGTTTGATAAGTTACCAGCTGGTTTTAATGCAGTCGTTGCTATAATGTGTTACTCTGGTTACGATATTGAAGATGCTCTTATACTGAACCGGGCTTCTCTGGATAGAGGTTTGGCCAGGTCTCTCGTCTGTCGGAAACAAACCTGCTCCTTGAAGAGATACTCAAACATGACTTTCGATAAAATACTCGGCCCAAGCCGAGAGATGGATACCGGTAAACCAATATGGAAACACACCCCTCTTGACGAGGATGGGATTGTAGGCGTGGCCGAGAGAGTATCAAGCGGACAAGTGTTGATTAATAAGCTAGTTCCGCAGGTTACACAATCTCTCTGTCCAGGAGGAGGGGGAGCAGCAGCAGGTGGAGCAGATAATAATTACAAGTCTTGTCCTGTCTCTTACCGTGGCCCTACTGATGTCTATGCTAACAATGTATTAATAACTAATAATAACGAAGAGTCTTATCTTATTAAGATACTACTGGAGTCCATTAGGATACCAGAGATTGGGGACAAGTTTAGCAGTCGCCATGGACAAAAAGGAGTGTGTGGGTTGATTGTACCACAAGAAGACATGCCCTTCACTGATCAGGGACTATGTCCTGATATAATAATGAATCCTCACGGCTTTCCCTCTCGTATGACCGTTGGGAAACTCATCGAAGTCATAGCTGGTAAGACAGGTGCTCTTAATGGCACCTATAGGTACTCAACTGCTTTCGGAGGCGACAAAGTCTCTGACATAAGCTCTGATCTGATATCCAATGGTTTCAACTATGTCGGTAAGGACATACTAACGTCAGGTATTACCGGAGAACCACTGGAGGCCTACATATACACAGGAATAGTGTACTACCAGAGACTGAAGCACATGGTACTGGATAAGATGCATGCAAGATCACGTGGTCCTAGAGTAATACTAACCAGACAACCGACCGAAGGAAGATCAAGGGACGGAGGCCTCAGGTTAGGAGAGATGGAGAGAGATTGCTTGATAAGTTATGGATCCTGTATGCTACTGAGAGAAAGGTTGATGACGTCAAGTGATGAGTTTGATGTGCAGATATGTGAATCATGTGGTCTATTAGCTTATAATGACTGGTAAGGAGAGAAAGGAAGAGAGCAAATTAGTTCATTATTTTATTTTGCAGGTGTCATTATTGTCAATCTTCTGGATCAGTTACTTCAATAAAGATTCCGTACGCTTTCAAGTTGTTGATACAAGAAATGCAATCGATGAACATAATACCAAGAATAGGACTTAGCAGCTGCATATAACTGATTTTCCCTCTTCTCTCCCTCCCCTCTCTCTCTCTCTTTAACTTTATTATTGCTATTAATAAACACTAAACACTTGATAGTCATCAGTAGTAGTATTAAAATGGCTGACAGTTGGGGCCAGGTGGTGTTGTTTAGAGAAAAGAAAGAACCTGTAGATAAATATGAAGAGGTACAGAATAATAAACAAGATATGTATTGTTCTTACATGTATCTATCCATTGTCTTATGAATTGCTTTAAGGTATTAAAAGGTGGAGGATTTGAGACAGTATTTATTCCAGTTTTATCATTTAAATACACTGACAGTAAAACTAATGGACTGCTTGATGCTATCACGTCACCTTTAAAATATTCAGGTGTTTGTTTATTCTTTTATTATCGTTTAATAGCATTGCTATTCGTCATATGCTTTGTTGTTTAGGTGTCATATTTACTAGTCAGACAGCTGTCAATGCCCTTGTAGATATGATTGAAAAGGAGAAATTAGTGATTGGTATGTTAACACAGAATTATAGAGACAGATGGCGAGAGAGAGGAAGTCCATATATTTATTATTATCACTGTGCAGTGTGGACATAATGCTTGTACGAATGTGTGTTAGTGTATGGACCATATATCAGAGCATTATATTACTGTGTACAATGTAGTGAGTGGACCATATTGAGTGTCTTATTAATTTATAGTATACAGCACATTTATGTACCTGTGTTTATGTAGAGGTTGATAAATGGACTGTTGTTTTTGTGGTTGGACCATCTACCAAGGAATGTGGTATGCTGTCTATTGAATAATGACTCCATGGTTAATTGAATTCTTCTAGTTGAGCGTCAGTTAGGATTACAAGTTACAGCTGGTGGAGTAGCCGGTAATGCACAACTGCTGTCTTCTATCATCATTGAATGTATGTGCTTGTACGTATGATTGATGAGGGTACACACATTCCCTGCATGCATTCATATTGATGTCATTTTGCCGAGAATTAAGTTTGAGCTAATTTTGATCAAATAAGATGAGTGAGATAAAAGAGTTATACATATTGATGTCCTTATGCTCTGGGGAAAGTTTGAGCCGATTCCGAGCTCGAATTCTTGATTTATGGCCATTTTTAAAATGAGCCGATTTCTGAAAACTACACTGCCCATGGTTTTTTCCAAAAAATGGCTCTGGAATCACCCCCCATTTTTATTACATTTTCTGATGCATATTGATGTACTTATGCTATGTAGAAAGTTTGAGCTGATTCCGACTTCAAATTTTCAAGTTACGGCCATTTTAAGAAAATCCCAAAATTTCAAACAATACCCAAGGCTATAGCCCATGCTTTTTTCCAAAAAATGGCTCCGAAATCACCCCCAATTTTTATTGCATTTTCTGATACATATTGATGTACTTATGCTGTGTAGCAAGTTTGAGCTAATTCCGACTTCAAATTTTCAAATTACGGCCATTTTAAGAAAATTCCAAAATTTCGAAAAATACCCAAGGCTATATAGCCCATGCTTTTTTCCAAAAAATGGCTCTGAAATCATCCCCAATTTTTATTGCATTTTCTGATACATATTGATGCACTTATGCTCTGTAGAAGTTTGAGCTGATTCCGACTAGAAATTTTAAAGTTATGACCATTTTTAAGAATGAACCAACTTCTGAAAATACCCTGTACTATAGCCCATGCATGCTTATTCTGAAAAATGGCCCCGAAATCACCCCCTATTTTCATTGCATTTTCTAATGCATACATGTATTGATTAATGTCCTCCTGTAGATGTAAAGAAGGCTCCTATTGACAAGCCGTTCTTGTTTCCCTGTGGTAATATGAAGAGAGATACTCTGCCTGTGAGTCTATCAGAGAATGGCATACCTCTTGAAACCATTGAGTGCTATCAAACCATACAAGACCCCAACATTGAGAGTGAAATCAGCAATAAGGTAATGACTACTTACACTTTAACTTCTTGGTATTGCAAATATGCTTTGTGACCAATCCTAATATTATTACTAATATTATTATCAACTGACACGTACAGGTAGGATTATACATATTCTGTCTAATTATGATCGACGCTATAATTCTATTATTATAATAATTACTATTAATTGTCTAGTGTCATAAATGGAATAAAGGAACAATGTTAGTGTTTTTCAGTCCATCAGGCGTCCAATACTCACTGCCAGTCATTAAACAACACTGTATTAATATACAAAACTTTACAGTGAGTACATATAGACGTATTGATACATTATAAATGTTTTGTTTATTTTTTAGTTTGTGTCAATAGGCCCAACGACTGCTTCATCACTTATTTCAAACGGGATCCCTTCTCCTCTTGTCTGTTCAAAACCAACTCCCTCTGATCTTTTAACTTTAATAATTAATAACTCTAACTTTAATAATTCATAACTACAACTCCGTGTCATGCTCCGTATACTTGGTTGTGGGCGGGGTCTGTCGCTATAGCAACAACCTTTGAAAAACATGTCTGACATTGGGTCTGAAGATGGAGAGGACCAGGGGCCTAATCTGGGAGTAAGGGAGACCAGTTCTTGATATTATCCTTTAGTTTTTTTGCTGTAGACTTATGAAGGAGAGAGAAATGACGCAGGAGAGAGACACGGGCAAGGAGAAGCTGTCCTTCCTAATGGAGACTCTTACAAGGGACAGTATGCCAATGGAAAGAGAAATGGCTATGTTAGTGCTGCAAAACTCATCATCACAAAACCTTATTAATAATCTTAGGGTGTGTACAAATTTAAATCGGGTGCTCGTTACATGGGTAATTATGATGATAACCAGAAATCTGGTGAAGGAACGTTTTATTATCCTGACGGCTCAAAATACGAAGGTAGAAAAGGAATAAATAATCATCTATTGTTATTTCTATTAGGCCAGTGGGTAAATGATGTGCATCATGGGGCAGGCAAGTATACTTATGCTAATGGAGACACATATGAAGGAAATTGGGAGAATGACCTGAGAAATGGACTAGGAACTTACACTTATAATCAAACTGGAGTCCAAGTATGCAGAAGACATATTGTGTGTGCATTCTAGTATTGACTGCATGCAGTATGTTGGTGAATGGGTCAATGGTAGAAGAGAGGGTAATGGAGAGTTGCTGTTCAAAGGGTATAAATTTAAAGGAACTTTCTTAACTGATCAAGTATGCTAAGAAGACAATACATGATAACTATAATATATAATGCATTTATAGCCACATGGAGCTGGTAAGTATATGTTTGACATTGGAGTGCAGCAGCTTGGAGATTATGTACTGGAGAAACCTGTTAGCTGTAATAATTATAATCAACTTATTGTTGTTTTGGTCTGTAGGTAAAGGAAGGAGAAGAAGAGGAGGAAGAGGAAGAAGATATACAGAAACTTAATCCAAGATGGCAGGGAGGGCAGATAACTCATGCTTAGTGCATCACATAACACTAATATTATTGATAGAGAGACACAAATCTTGTTTTAACACAACAATGTAAACTATCAATTAAACGCGTGGGTGGAATCAATACAAAAGCACAATAGTGTAGCAGTGCAAAACAGTTTCGTCTGGCAGTTGAAGAAAAGAAGAGAGAGAAGGAAAAGCGGTCATGGCTGGCTCTTTATGGATCATAGCTGGCTCGGTTCTGCTTTTATTAATGTCTTCATTTGCTGTCGGACAAGAGGGACAGGTGAGGCTGTAATTAGCGCTACATGAGCAGTGAGCTCACTCTTGTGTAGTAAATGGAGGAATCACTAAGATTAGCTAAGCATGCCTGTATAGTAGATAGATAATTGTGATTAATGAGTAATTGAGTGTATCAAAAGAGAGAGTGCATTATACGCCAAGGACTCCCTGTTTCATATTTCACAGTTTATCTTGTTTTCTATGATTAAATCTCACATGATAGTCGTAATATTAATGAATTACTGTGAATACAGTCATTACAAAGTACACACTAGCCAGCATAATAAAGTATAAAGCTGCCATACAAATCAAAATGTGTGTTGGCTATTGCATGTACATTGTATGTCCTTAAGAGTATGATTGTTATTAATGGAAGTATGGTCTATTGTTTGGATGAATAATGGTGAGTGAGTGTATTTGTGTGCCTTGCCCACTATATAAAGTCAAAGCATGTGAAAATCCTCCCCTGTCGGTCACAACATTATCCATACTCACAATCAACACTCACTCTCTCTCTCCTTATTTGTTTATAGGATCAGAGGCTGCTAATAAGCGATGATGATGAAGGTATGTTGCACTACTTTAGATCATTAGGGATGGATGCATGACGTCCTTGTAACTAGTTTGTTTGTGAATTCCTCAACCATTGAATCTTAAATTCATTTCCTTTGAATAGCCTATACATTATTGTTACTCTTACATGCTTGTGATGTGAATAGTATATGCTATTAGTTGTAGTATGTTGCATTTGAAGTGGATTCCAATTGAATTAGTCATAGTTATATTCTCATGACAAGCATGCAGGCCAGGTTATATACATCACCTCTTAAATATTCACCAATCAGCAATATCCGATGTTAATGAACATATCTTTTTTATTTCAAACAGTTCCACAGAATCCCCTCAGTCTGATATTTGTTAAAGAATCCTCTGAGCTCACCATTAGATTTGGTCTCTCCTTCCTTGAGGAGCTGAGGCTTCTAAAGGATTCCTGCATGAGTCGTGCTGCCCAAATGGAAGGAAACTTTAAAGACGCATTGATTCAATTGAGAGAGTACCAGTACCAGACCGAAGAGATACTAGAGTCATCCGGAATGAGTACTGGAATGAGTGAAGAACAGAAACAGTATCTGAGAGAAAGACTCAACAACTCTTTGAATGAGCTACTGGACCAGCAGGATAAAGCAAGAAAGGCTCTTACAAATAACTGCAGCAGAGAGTACCAGAGAATAATAAATGAAAGGATGAGGTCTGTCTTAGGCTATGCTAACTCCATGCTGTTGGACGGAGGAGTGGAAACATACAATCAGCTATTGAATGGGATCAGGGCGTATGGACATGAGCTACAGACTGCACTGAGCGATTGCATTGACCTGTACACGCCTTACTTTAGGAGGCATAATAATATGAGAGGAGGAACCACGGACACACTGTGCATGATCACTGAAGTACAGACACTAATTGAATTCATTAGAAACTTCCTAATACGAGCCAATGAATTACTAGACACTGGCAATAACAGCAACAGTGTCTCTCCTACACTGACAGATATTCAACATGAGTCTACTCTCTCTCCGTCTCCCACTCCAACAGGTATTGTATTTCATGTATCAGTAATAGCTATTTAATTCTATTACTTATAATTTGATATTAATCTTAATTTGATGATACAAATATGTATTGACTGTCATTTTTTCTCAATAGATAATAATAATAATAATAATAATCATCATCATCACGGGCACCACGGAAACCATCACCACGGTCACCATCACCACGGTCACCATCACCACGGTAATCATCATCACGGTAACAAGCACAACGAAAGTGATCACCACGGCGATCATCACCATGGAAACAGTCATCATCACCACCACCATCATGGCGGACATCATCATGGTGGACATCACCATGGTGACAATCACCACGGCAACAATCATACTATTGGTCAGCTCCACCCTACCCCCAGTACCCATTCAAGACCAAATCCTACTAATGTACACCACAGACCAAGCTCGTCTGATCTGCCCCGCCCACACCAGCCATCCAACAAGCCACACCCACACCAGCCGTCCAATAAACCATACTCACACCAGCCATCCAACAAGCCACACTCACAGGAGGAGTCTCACAGGCCCCACCCTACAGCTCATATTAATGTCATTGTTCAGGTTGAGCCAAGTGCTACTAGGACTATCATTGTTGATCCAACAGAGCAAGGATTGAGTGATCATCATGATCTACCAACTATACTGATATATGCTGGAGTCCTCTCTGGTCTCTTCATAGTCTCTGTACTAATAATTGGAGGAGCTTTGCTCTGTGTACGCTATCATGGGAACAAGAGGAAAAGTGGCTGGAAGCATCTCTCAGAAGAAGAGAAAGTGTCTCAAATGAAATCCTCAGGATACGTTAATCCGACTTACAAGTTCTTTGATCAAGTTACTCAGTAAATGTACTGCTATTATCATTATTGTTATTATTATTATAATATTATTATTATTATTGATTATTATTACTGTTAATTGTCTATATATAATCAGTTGAGGACTTGTTTAATATTATTGCTATTGATCTGTTGATCATTATGACTTGATATTTTGCATTAATTTTAATCATTCAATTGGGAGGAGATAAATTTTATTTCACATAAAAATGGAAGGTGGAAGTCGAGGTGGAAGTGTACCATTATTGTTATTGTTCCTGCTCTCTTTCTCTTGTCTCTGCTCTTGTACTCCAGTCTGGGATGACAATGGCTACCTTGTATTTTGTCCATGCATGGGTTAGACACGCTACCTATGTGTCTTCTCTCTCTCTCTCTCACTATCTCTCTCTTTCTCCAGGTAGGTTTGGTAACCAAGCTGCTCATTACTTAGGAGCAATGGCTTTTGCTAAAGATATCAACAGGACACTAGTACTCCCGCCATGGAGAACATATGTACGTCAGGTACACTCACTACTAGATAGTATAGCCCATAGTTTATTTGTTGGGAGTGTGAACATGTATGGGGGTGGAAATATTTGCTTGTTTGAATTTTGAAGTGGAAAATTGTTGGCACAGCTGGCAGTCTGGCACCTACACTGGTTAACAAAAAATTAATTTTTTAGCAGAAAATTGCAAAATAATGTATATATCCTGCAATTATTTACAAATAATCTAATAGTAGCACCATTTTTGATAGAGAAATGTTCCATTTGAAGAGTGGTTCAGACCAGAAGCAGTGACACTGTACCATAGAGCTATCACAATGGCTGAATTTATGACTCACTTTGGAGATAAATGGACGGAAAGAATTGGCTATTGTTATAAGCCGTACAATCCTGACGCGGCAAAGGACTGTCAAATGAAAAATGGGAATCCTTTTGGACCTTTTTGGAATGAACTCGGAGTCAATTTTACAAAGTATAATATTAATAGCTCCACCCTTTAACTATTATTATTACTATTATTATTATTATTATTATTATTATTATTATTATTATTATTATTATTATTATTATTATTATTATTATTATTATTATTATTAGGTCAGAAATTATAACACTATCGTATGATACATCACATCCTCAGATTAAACAACAATGGCTTGAGAGGTTAGTTGTTATTGTTTATTGTTGTTGTTTACTGTTGTTGTTTGTTGTTGTTGTTTACAGGTATCCAAGCAGTGAGCATCCAGTCATAGCAATGAAAGGAGCTCCTGCTTCATTTCCAATGAAGAAACACCACAGGAGATTACAGAGGTACCTTGTATGGAGTGAGTACATAGCTAGCAGAGGAAACGAGTTTATTAACAACACCATGAAGAATTCAAAATACATTGGGATACACTTAAGAATGGGATCAGACTGGGTACAAGATAAAGTTTATTATTATTATTATTATTTATTTATTTATTTAAAAATTAGTTTTTATTTCTTTTATTTTTACTCTTTTTACAGCAAATTGCTTGCTCACGTGGTAAAGGTGTTCGATCATTCTTTGAATCGCTACAGTGTTTGGAAGAAGAGCCAGAAGAAGTGACTGTTGATGACAGTATATGCATACCAAAGATGGAGGATATCATAGCTGACATTAAATATGTACTAAGTATAACTACTGATGTAAAATCTATTTATATAGCAACTGATGTCCAACATAGTAATATACTAAAGGACTTTAATACTCAATTAGGTCAAGGGGTTAGTTATTAGTGGTATTATTATTATGAATGTATTACTTGTATTATTTATAGGTTAAAATATATTCATTGAATCAAGATCTGCCTCAGTTGGACTTATATCTATTAGGAAGGAGTGATTATTTCATTGGTAACTGTGTGTCATCATTCACTGCCTTTGTTAAGAGAGAGAGGGACGTTGCTGGACTCCACAGCAGCTTTTGGGGACGCATAAGAACACAATTAAAGGATGAACTATGACCATTAATTTTGCATTGTTTTTAGCAATAATTATTTTTATTTTACCACCCACGCATACTGATTACTGATTATTGACAAGCCACACCCATTTACATGTGAGTAATAAAATGGCGTCTTTCATAGAACTGGCGGGCTCCTCTTTCTCAAATCACGAGTTTCAATGGAGGGACCTTCAGATACAGCGAGCGCCGAGGTCACATACAGGGACTGGCGGGGGAGGGGAGGCCAGGAGAAGTGGTCCATCTGGAGGAGCCTTTCACTACAAAGATGATGGGACTATGGCCACTAGAAACAGATCCATTGCCTGGTAATCATTAGATCTATTATTATAATAGTTGCTATTATTTTTACCGTACAAGATGATTTATTGGCAAGAGTAATATTTGGTGAATTTGTGATTATTTGCGAATTTTATATTGGCAATTTTGTGCCACGTGCCATTGAGCATGCTCAGATTGAAAGAGAGTGGCAGATTTTATATTGGTGATTTCTTCACAGTGTCATTACTTGCAATGTGTAATTTAAGTTGACTATGTACATTTTTCTTATTTGAAAAAAACTACCTGAGCCTGCAGTATCACTTTGATCTGTTTCTATAGGAGACTATTAGAGAAATCAATTGAACTGATCGAGATATCGTTGGATATGAATTTGACTGGTAACGCTCTGAGACTCCACCTCCCTCCATCCAGCTGTCCAGGGACTTCACTATCGATCAATGAATTAGCAAATAACATCATAATCCTATTCAGTGACACTAGCACTGTCTATAGACTGATACTGCCTCATCCTGTTGAAATATTTAAAGCAAGTTATTATTATTATTATTATTATTATTATTATTATTATTATTATTATTATTATTATTATCATTATTATTATTATTATTATTATTATTACTATCATTATTATCATTATTATTATTATTATTATTATTATTATTATACAAAGTACAATAGCTAGAAATAAAACAGGTTGAAATGCATACACTTAGATGTAGAAAAATATGAAATTTAAGAATGAAAGAAAAGCCTCCTAAACTCCCTCCTAACAAACTACAACATCCATTGTACTACCTACACGCTCTTGTAATAATGAATATGATTATAGGGGCAACCCACGATAGACTTTTCAAAATGCTTGCTTTATAAAGGCAGATTCACAGCCTTTGAACAGGAGAAAGATGACTTTTCTTACTTCAATTGTTGATCTAACCAATTTTTGGGTTGGGTGAGTAGTTAGGAGTTTAGTAATTAAATATTAATAATTAAATATTAAATAAGGGCCTACTATAATTGCGTATAATCATTGTTAGATCTAGAAATAAATTTTAGGAGACCAATCCAACTAAAAATGGGAGAATTCAGGGGTAGACACTGGAGGCTATAAAAGTCTCCTAAACTCCCTCTAGATCAAACAGCCAGTACACAATGATACATTGTTCTTGTAATAACTAATGAATATGATTATAGGGGCAACCCATGATAGACTTTTCAAAATACTTGCTTTATAAAGACAGATTAAGTATGGAAGTGACAATATCAAGTGATATATTGAACAGCTCAAACCAATTTTTGGGTGGGTGAGTAGTTAGGAGTTCTCCTAACGAAAACCCTCTCGTAAATAATAATTAAATATTAATAACATAAATGTGATAATTTGCACTATCGTACAAATTGTATTAATTAATTAATTTATTTTATTTGTTTATTTATTTAGAATCCGAAGCTGTTATCAGTTGGTAAGGGACTCCCCCCTTCAGTTCTCCTCTTTGCTGATCAGATGAGTTTCCATGGCAACAATTCTGTACCGATACTCTCCGGATCCTATACTTTCCATTCCTCCTTATCCTGTTCCTGGGTCAACAATGTGGGCGTGGCTTCGTTTGTGTTAGGCTCCTCCCACTCGAGAGCGTTACAATGCATTCAATTACCAGCACCTGGAACAGGTAGCGAAAATAATATAATTATTATTTTATTTATTTATTTATCCCAGGTAAGAATGTTGATATTGGTATACCATTGAGGTTTCAATTGGATCAAAGTAACGTAATGAATAAATTGTGGAATATCATACCAACCAGCTTAAAGTAATCAATATTAATTGTTATTATTATTATTATTATTGCTTTTTGTGTAGGGGTTCCGGTGATATTGAGCAGACCCCCGTGGCCATTGAATCACACCTGTTTGGTGGAGAGATGATAATAATCTCTGTTTATAATAATCTGTCATTGAAACTATGGTCAATACAGGTACTGTTATAATAATAGAATAATTTTAAAAATAATAATAATTGTATTTTTAGGAGAAGTATTGTGTTTTGGAGCATAGCTTGAATGACTATTTTGAAAATGAGGAGAGATCAGGTTTAATTGTATTAATAAACATTAATAACTACTCGCCCCTCCCTCTAGTTAATGAAGTTTTATTAAAGAAATCTCATGAATATTCAAATGAGTCTCTGAGATTTGCCGTCTGCCCCAATCTATACATGAAATCTAAAGTTAGTAGTGGGCGGGGTAGTATGGGCGGAGCTTACATGTTATTCATTATTAGATACTAGTATTTGATTTATTATTAATTGAAAGTCAATTAATATTGCAAGAATATTGGAGCCACACGCTCGTACAGGTATATAGTTAATATAAGCCGCACCTTTGTTGTTGTTATTATTATTATTATTATTGTTAGGTGGAGCCGTTAATTGACGTGTCATTAATTAATGAGTACATGTTTGTATTAACTAGTAAAGAAGGAGGAGGAGGTGCTAATCATATTTATTATACATCATTGTAAGCTTATGTGTATCATGGAGAATTCTTTCCTTTTTATTTTTGATGAAATTTGGCCAAAATCCCTGTATAGGGCCCTACTTTTGCTCAATTTTTGAGTAACTTTAAAAATTTGTAAAAAATCCAAACTTGATCGGAATCAGTTTAAACTTTCTACACAAAGTAATTGTGTACTCTCTCCTCTCTCTCTCCGTAGTGCTTCTAACACGGATTGTAACAATGATGTCATTATGATGTCACTCCCTTCTAATGATGCTACTTTACCAGGTCATAAAACCATAGCTGTAAGTTATACATATAATTCTAAAACTATTATCTATTTATTTATTTATTTTATTTATTTACTATCATTGTCTCTTTGTTGTGTTAATATTACAGGAAGGTTATCTTGATGTTATGTTCACTCCTGGTCACATATCCACTGAATCCATTGCTAAAGGATTAACAGTAAGGATCAGTTCACATTGTACAGTGTTTGTCAATCCTTTCTTGTGTAGCTTTGTGGCTGTAAAGTGTCTAAAGACGTTAGTTTGAAGCAACAAGTCATTAATCAGATGGAGAGAGAAGTGATTATTATTTATTAATTTTATTTATTTATTTATTTATTTTAGATCAAGTCTGTAGTTGGTTTAGGCTCTTTGTCAGAGTTGGAATATAATAATATTATCAGTAAAGTTTGGACTAAATTCTACCATCATATAATACAATATGAACAGGTAAATGTACATGTACATGTATGTATTATACTTCATTGATATTATTATTATTATTATTATTCTGTAGCTAGTTCAATGTGGTGTTAGTATAACAATAGATTCTTCTCGTGGTGCTGTTACTTTAGTGAAAAATGGAACAATTTCATTCCTATATTCTCATTCCCATACTCCTAGTTTCATTCTCAGTGCTCCTCATTCTCATTTGTTGGAATGCAACGATGACATCATCACTCTTGATCTTTCCATGCTGCTCCACTGTATCTCATTAGTTCATTATCAGGTGGGTGGGTCAGTGGGTGTGGCTACCCAGTATTCTTATTATTAGATACCCGAGGAAGTCTTTCAATCTTTTGTGAGGGATTTACGTTACCATGGCGACCCGCATGATTTAGCAAAACAAATTGTGGACGCACTAACAAAACAGTAATTAATTTATAATTAATTAATTATTTATTAATTTTAGGAGTGCTGTTTCTGATGTAGAGTTTTTGTTATCACTGCGTCAGATGTAAGTCACAATAATTAGCTCGTAAAGGGTTAAAAATACTGCAAAATAGATTCGGCTCAATATCAGACGTGTCCTCACTATTGGCCCAAATACAGGAATTATTGACGATATTTAACGAGGAGGCAGAGCAAGGGGAGGAGCCTGAGGACCCCCTGAGTATTGATGGTGCTAATACTAGCTCTTATTTTATTAAACTGATCAGCAGCGGAGTCAGGGAACTCTCCTACAGGAGGATCAGATCTTTGTTCGATCTTTTATTATTTTTTGAATTATTTGAGCAATCGGCTTTAGTTGATATTGTAAGTCTAATACATGTACATGTACATGCACATTCCTTGTGTTAAGTGAATTTTAATATTTTTTCTCCTTTTTTTTTTCATTAGGATGTGGGTATCGTTATTGATGAATTAATTAAACTCATTAATATTCATCATGTCATTTATTGGCTGGCGACAACTGAGGCCACACCCGTCGATGGACTAATGTAATGAAAATTAATTGATGATTTATTAATTAATATTAATTAATTATAGGTCAATGAATATTAATGATTTCAGTGTCAGTAAAGCTAATAATGTAAAGCTGGACTGTGACCTGTTGGAGCTTTATCTCTCGTCATCTCCAAATGTTATATCCGCCATTTTGAATGATATTGAAGACCACACCCACTGGAAGCATATGCTACCATCATTACTAGAGAGTTTGATCAAGAAAATGTAAATAAATAATTTAATTAATTAATTTTGTTTATTTATTTATTTATTAGTTGGCCTGAAAGCAGCTGCATTCTGTTATATGAGTGCTTATTAAATAATTGCCAATACAGCTCAGTTGAAGTAATTAATAATAATAATTATGTAATTAATAATATTCTTTTTTTCTCCTTTTATAAGGACCTGAATACATATTGTACAGATTACAATACTAACAAATATGGCGTACTATTCCTAAGAGGTTGCTCATTAGTCCTCAATGGCTCTGTTGACAAAGGAGTTGAGTATTTAACTGAGGCTTATGATGGATACTATACTGATGGGTACTTGATTAGACTCTTCACGAGGGAAGAGGAACATGAAAATGGAGAGATTTATTGGCTCAAGCTGTTGAGGTTTTTGGAAGGAGTTGATAGCTCTGCTGGCGTGATACAATTATTAACTGACGGACTAACTGTTTTAAGAACTAAAAGTAACATCACAGTAAGTTATTAATTAATGTTATTATATTAATATTAATTATTATTATTTTATTTGTTATTATTATTATTAGGCGACACTGTGGTCTAATTTATTTAAGCACTCGTTGCTGATGAAGGATTATGATATTTCTTATGATGCCATGATGAACAATAATGACGACATGAGGTTAATATCCTGTACTATAGCCCATGGTCTTTTGCCTAAGCAACTTCAAAAACAATCTAAAATTTTATGGTTTTGTTTTTATTTAGGAGGAGAGAGTGTTTGAGACATTTTGTTACTGTTTTGGCTGATAGTGATGAACCCTCTTTGTTGTGTAGTTATAATTTTAGTGGACTAGAAGAAGAGGTATTGATTAATTCTTATTGCTATTATTTTTTAAATTTATTTTATTTATCTAGGCTGAATCAGTACTGGATATGATAGCTCAGTCCAGTCCAGCCATCAGCTCCATATATTATGATGTACTCTACTCCTATCACTTGTCTAGGGACAGCTTTTGTAAAGGTAACATTAATAAATATATCAAGTATCTTTATCTCCTCCCCCTCTCTCTCTCTTCCATTAGCTGCTCATAAGATGTATGAGAGATGTGTTCGTGTGGCTAGTGAGAGTGATGGAGTCCATTCTCTTCAAATTCAAAGGAATTGCGTAGTTACTGTGATATCCCTTCTCTCTCTCGTGGAACCAAAGTACCAGTGGGTTCTTAAACCTTCTGATGATAAAAGTAAACAATTTTTTGTTTGTTTTATTGTTGTTTTTGTTGTTGTTGTTGTTAGGTTCTTGTGGTGTTGTGAAACTGAAGGAATTAAAGCAGCAACATAAATTGATGACATCCAAATTATTATTAATTAAACACAAGCCTAGTTTGGAGTCGCATTTATCAAGTTAGTGAGCTCAAGCTTTTTCTTTTTGTTTGTTGTTGTTTATCATTATTTGTTTGTTTTTGTTTATTGTTTGTGTGTAGGTATTTATGTGAGTGTTGTAGAAGTCTCAAATTTATTGCACAACTTTGGATATTTTGACGAGTCCCTCTCGCTTTGCTTGCTTCATGAGATGAGTTTAGTTCCTCTTTATCAAGCACTAACGGCTAAATGCATCTCACTGGCTAATTCAGTTTTCATCAACCGGTAACTTATGCATAATTTTAGAAATAATTAAAAATAATGAATTTTATTGCTAAATTTTTGCTTATTTACAGAAATTAAATTAAAATGCATTGATATGTACCAGTCCATGCTCAGTGATTATAATAAAAATAATTATTAATTTTTATATCACATCCTTTAATTATTTTTCCAATCAACAGAGACGAAGCCACTCCCTCTTGGCTGTGGCTTGAGTACAACGAAACCAGCACATCAAAGTTGCAATCACGGGGCTCAAGGTGGGTGTAGTTATTTATGGGTGTGGTCTTGTATCAATTCATATCATTTTAATTTCAGTGTTGTTGATCAAGGCTGGAGTTTACTAAAACGTTATGTTGAGATGATCGAAGACAAAAACCCAATGGGTGGAGTAAGAGGTGTGGCTATAGACAGTCCATCCCAACTGCTTGGATGTGTCATTGAGAAATTTCTACACTTGAACCACGACACACCACAATGGCTGATATCAAAACTGAAAGTATGAACGATCAAGGTGTATTATTGATTGTTTGTCTTGTTTGTTATCTTAGGCTGTTGATGTTCGTAAGTTGGTGTTTATTTTAATGTCTTACAATAAACTTGAGGAAGCCACCGAAGTGACTATTGATTACATTGATGCTGTCCTCGGCCAAGGAAAGGAAGCTTTCAATATTAAAGTAATTGATAATAAAAACAATGTACAGTGTTGGATCTAGAAATAAATTATTGGGAGATTATTATGACTAAATACAATGTATGGGACCAGATGGGACACCTTATAGACCAAATATGGAAGATCAAAAGTCTCCTGAATCTAACAGTGACTATTAATTAATATTATTTAATTATTTTTAGGATTGTTTGCATGCTCTTGGCTCTCCCGTCTTCCTTCCTTACAACGTCATTGATCAGTTGTTGAAATTATTGGAAAAATCTCAAGAAGCTGGATCAGCTCATTCAGCTCAAATTGCTGATTCACTCAAGCGTAAACTTGACGATTATGTTGCTACGTTGAAAAGTTTGGACGACATGTAGTAGAGATGAAACAATTTGTTTTCACTGCATTCATTGACTGTTCGTGTTGATTTCTGTATAATTGTGTAATAATAATCATAAAAATAATTAATTTTGTTCTAAGCCACGCCTTCTATTAATAATAATTTTGGTGGGTTTGGTTTCAAAATGGCGACCTTAGTGAAGGCTCAGAGTAAGGCCATGACTAGCTCTACGGCTCCTGATATTGCTGCCATGACCTGGTTAGAAGCAGCAGAACACATCCTCAAACAGGAAGGACCAGAAATGCACATTAAGGACCTAACGGAGAGGGTTATGAACCTTGGAATGGTCAATTCTCATTGTAGGACGAGCTTAGAAACTCTCCTCTACAGACAAGTAAATCACTATGTGTACCATTGTGTGTTATTATCTGCTGTTAACAGTCTCATAAACCTCATTCCAAATTTAAAAGAGTCATAGGGAGGATGGGCTGGTTTAAATTATCTAACAGTGTCATAGCTGAGAACAACCTTTCGCAATCATTGAACTGTTGCGATGAAGGTAACCCACACACACAAACTGTGAAGTGAAAATTATAATGTTTCCAAAAAACTGTCAATTATAATATTCACTATATATTGATGTCCTTATACTAAGTAGAAAGTTTGAGCTGATTCCGACTTCAAATTTTCAAGTTATGACCATTTTTTAAAATGGGCCAATTTCTGAAAAATACCCAAGGCTATAGCCCATGGTTTTTTCCAAAAAATGGCTCCGAAATCACCCTCAATTTTTATTAAATTTTCTGATACATATTGATGTACTTATGCTATGTAGAAAGTTTGAGCTGATTCCGAGTTCAAATTTTCAAGTTACGGCCATTTTAAGAAAATGCCAAAATTCTGAAAAATACCCAAGGCTATAGCCCATGGTTTTTCCCAAAAAATGGCTCTGAAATCACCCCCAATTTTTATTATATTTTTTGATACATATTGATGTACTAATGCTATGTAGAAAGTTTGAGCCAATTCCGACTTCAATTTTTTGAGTTATGGCCATCTGAAAAAATGAGCCAATTTTAAAAAATATATACCCTTACAATTGCAAAGTAAAAATGTAATGTGTAAAAGCAAGCTAATGTAAAAACTACCAATTTGATATTTCAAGAAATCCGCTCTATGGAATATATTATATATAATTTTTGATTTATTTTAGAAGAAGAGGCAATGATGCCAAAGTCAGTGATAGTCCACAAGCGTAAGAGCAAAGTGATACGGAGAGAGGAGGAATACGGTGACTGTAATCGTGAGCCTGACTCCGATGAGTCTGACAGTTCTTATTCCAGCACCTCCGACGATGAGGATGACGATGATTGGTCGATGAAGTATCGGCACATCAAAGGATTCGCTAAAAGGTTGATTATGGTACGTTGTGTGGTAGGTGTGGCTTATTTAGTAGGTGTGGTCTTTTCATAGACTAACGTTTCATTAGCTAGCGAATTACAATCACTCGAAAACGAAATATCTAAAAGTCAACAAGAGAAGAAGTAAGTATTTAAAGGATTGGACTCTGTCATCATTACTGTCTGCTAGGTATCTTTTGGAAAGACTCATTAATAAACAAAGTAATGCAAGAACAACAACAACAACAAACAAACAAGATCAGTCCAAACAAGCTACTCCAGTTGGAGGAGGAGGAGGAGCTACTAGTGTTAAAGTACCCACCACACCTAGTAATAGTAATAGATTAAAGAGGCCACTTCCATCCTCACCACCTGTTTCTCATAAACCACACCCATTAACTACCCCGCCCACCAGATCTTCTGAACAGCGTCTGATATACAACGCTATATCGGAACCAAGGGACCTCTTCTCCACCAGTTCCAGCTCCAGTAATGAAGAGGAGGAAGCAGCTGCTGGTAAAAGAACAGGAAGAGCTTTAAAAGAAGGGACTACTAAACAGAACAAAGCAAGCAAGGAAGAATCAATAGGTTGTTATTATTATTGATTATTGATTATTATCAATTGATTATTATCAATTGATTATTATCAATTGATTATTATTGATTATTGATTATTATCAAATTGATTATTATTATTGATTTATTATTATTATTATTAATTAGGTACAGGAGGTGGTGGGCGGAAGAAGAGGGTGAGACGGTTACAAGCAATCCCATTGCATGAAGATGGTAATTAATTTTATTTATTTATTTTATTTATTTATTTATATAAAAGGGTCTCCTGTATTTCCAATCAAACTAGGTGGACTCCAAGTACATTCTCTTGGAAAGGTATTATGGGTGTGGCTAGTTATTATTATTAATTATTAATAGGTGGTATGGGATCGACCCTCCTTTCATAACGAGAGGTACATTTGGCCATTAGGTTTCAAGAGCACTAGAAGTTACCCAAGCATGACCAACCCTTCAAGAAGATGTCTCTATACCTGCCATATATTAGACGGAAAGGATGGGCCCATTGTAAGCTCCACCCACTAATAAATTAATTAATAGTTGTTAATAGTTTGAAATGGTTTCTGAGGAAAGTCCAGACTCTCCGATTCGAGCTTCTTCTGCAACCGCTTGTCACCACATAGTACTGAAAGCAATCAATGAAGCTCGGTATGTGTATGCATGTAGCATTATTTTGTTTATTTAATTTGTTTGTTTGTTGTTCTTTGAAGAGACAAGCAGGCCACAAATGCTGGCTCAGGTCCAGAATTCTTTGGCTTCTCCCATCCATCGATTCTTAATTTGATCCAGCTGCTCCCTGATGCTGATAAATGTACTAAGTACAAGCCGACCATATTCCAACAGCCCCTCACTCGTGGGAAGGCCCATCAGCCACTACCCACCTCAACCGATCATAAGAAACCTTTGCTCTCGTCGTCTGCAAAGAAAAAAGAGAAACCGATTCCAGATTCGTCCCTGGTAGGAGGAGCCCCTTTGACTGTTGGTGGGGGTACGAGTGATCCTAGCTTAGCCCCTGTCGTTAACCAGCTAATTAGTTATTTGTCGTCAGACAGTGACTCTAATAGCAACGAATACGAACATGAATTAGTTATTGATACTAGCAATAGTAATCGGAATTAAATTAATAATTCATTGATTATTATTAATTATACAGCTCATTATTATTCATCATTATTAATTGGTATGTTTATTGGTCTACTGCGCATGCGCAGTCCGCTCCCATCAAGACAGACCCTTGACACAGAAGGAGAGTTGGAGCTGTACCCTGAAGAGAATACGTGAGTTATTTTAGCTTTTCAAAGTCTCGATCTCTCATTCCTCTATGCACACATCGCCCTTTGTCTCTATTGTTCCCTACTCTACTAGGAGGAGGAGCGTGTCTCATCTTTTTGTGTCAAAGCGAGTTTCCTTTTGAATGAAATCACATACAAAATGGTATGTAACCTAATACTAACACAATTATTGTTTATATTATAGTAATTGACCCTTTTTGTCTTATCCCACAGGACTTTAAACTAGGTCTTTACTCTCCAACACAATCTATAGATCAGTTGCAAAGGCCCGTCGATGAACGCATGCACATTAGACGTCCTTCGGATGAAAGCGAAAGAATACTACGCAAGATATCGGGTTAGTGGGTGTGGTTAATCTATCACTATAGTAACCGTGTTATAGGGGCAGGTATGGCGTCCCTAGACCCAGCAGTTAACATGAGTTCCCCTAGACATCTCTCCCTCCCATCTGATGCCAACAATAGTTATAATGAAGTGGGTGAGTTTGTTAAGAACGAACTTGGACTAGGAGACACTGGTAGGATGATATCAACTGCTTTAAGTGATGGCTACCTCCCTGGGATTGGAATGGATGATGCTTCTAAAGTAATTCCGTGTACATGTACAGTGTAACTTATTAAGGACCACACTACCTGTCCTTAATACAGAGGTGTCCTCATTTCAGAGGTACTTTTGTATAGCTTTGTTCCAATTGTGACATTACAAAATGTCCTCGTTATAAAAGTGTCCTTATCTCTGGGTGTGCTTACATTGAGAGGTTTCACTGTATGGCATAAATATTTAATCTTCTCATAACTTGATATTATTATTATTAATCATGTTTTTTTTATTATTTTACTAGTTAAGCCCTCAAGGTATTGCAGGCATGGATCAATCTCCACAGTTTGACGGACGTGTCTTTACGCCTGAGGACCAGCTGTTCCCACCTCTGACCTCAAACGACCGTCATCCATCAGCTCCACTACTCCACACAATGCTTACCAGTGGAGTCATGGGTAATGCTCAACAACAGCAGCAGCAGCAACACGTTCAACAGCAACAGATTCATTTGCCTGATACCAAAGACAACATGTTATTAATTTCTCCTAATGATATCGATTCGATGACCAGCCAGAGAAGCCGTAGTTGGTCTATGCCAATCAACGCTAACAGACCTCCACTCCCGCCCCAGATCTCTATCTCAAGCCCTGATGAGACTCAGGACTACTTCTGTAAGGGTGTGTGTTTATGTTTATATTTATATTCTTGTTTGTTTAACCTGTATTTTTGTACATTTAATCATTCTGTGTTATTGTCTGATACCTTCCCACTCATTGGGGCATACAGGAAACTGTGGTGATACCTGTTTCCTTTATTTTAATATATAAATAATCATGTTTTATTTTATTTCCTGCCCACACATATACACATACATGTATATATATATATATATTTGGAGTAGGCCTTTAGTGTACATGTATATACACATTACATACACAAACAAAACACTCTACAGACTTGTAAGTGTACTCTGTGCCCTTCTGTTGTGTGTTGGTTGATGTCTCACAATTCATCCTGCTTCATAATTTAATTTGTTTTATTTGATTTAGTGCCATTTGACAGGCCAGTTAGCATTGGTGAGGCTAGCTCTTCTCACGAGTATTTCAACACTTTTGGTGATGCCGCGAGGATTCAGCAACACTTTGACGACACTGTACAAAAGTTTTTTCAAGAAACACATCTTCCATCAGGTAACTGCAGCAAGACCATGAAGCAACAGCATCACGTGTAAATTGAATGTTCCTTTCCTGTAGATCCAACTCAGTGGAATGAGTCCAATGTATTTACTTTCTCTCAATGGACCTCGGCCGAGTTTCAGCTCCCAATCAACTTGCAGCTGTTCCAGGGGATCAACGGGCTCCAGCTCTGCTCTTTCACTCAGCAGCAGTTTCACGGACTGGCTAAGGAAAGTGGACACACTCTATTCACTTTTCTGGAGAAAATCAAAGCCTCCGCTACTTGTAAGCCATTACTATTGATCATTAATCACTGTACACCCCCTCCCTCAATTTATACATGTACATGTACATGTCTTTTTGGTTCTTTCCCCTTTCCCTCCCTCTTAAATTCATTCTACATATCTTCTCTCTCCCCCTCTTTCTCTTCCTCTCTTCCTCCTCCCTCTCTCCCTCCCTCCCCCCTCTCTCTCTCTCTCTCCAGTCCCTAGTTTTGGTGGCTATCCCTTGCCTGGTAGTGATATGTTTCCAGACCCTGGCTATTATGTTGGTGTTAATAGTAATAATACCAATATGTCTTCTGAATTCTCCACAACATCACCGCTAACAAGTAAGTCGTGTTTACAAACACTATTGATATCACTCTGATCTCTCTCTCTCTTTGTATTTCTAGGTCCTCCTTCTATCTCCATTTCTTCTGATTTTAAGCCCAACAGGCACTCCGAGGATTTATTTGGTTTATCTAGTTTTGGTTCCAATGGGAGTGGTCATCTCCGCCCACCACCTCCCCCATACCAGCGTCCAGGTAGCCCCAGTGGTTCCGATATATCCACTCCATACAGTAGTCCAGTTCCTTCTCCTGTAGCATCTCCAGGTCCTTCTCCTATCCATTCTCCTATATCTTACTCACCTAATCCATCACCTTCTGCTTCTCCTATACCAAACAGAGCTAATACTGGTGAGAATAAAGAAAAGTCATTGATGTTCATGTAGCTATTGTGTGACATTATATGTGTGATGTTATTTTTATGAATAAAAGAACATTATCTATTGTTTTATGTTTTAAAGCTGCTTGATTCTTGTTACTAAATACTAATCTCTCTCTTTCTCTCTCTCATATGTTATAGGTACTGGTCCTATACAATTGTGGCAGTTCCTTTTAGAGCTGCTCACTGACAGAGACTGTCAAAACTGCATTGCATGGACGGGAAGAGAGTGGGAATTTAAGCTGATAGACCCGGAGGAGGTGGCCAGGCGCTGGGGTTCAAGAAAGAACAAGCCGAAGATGAATTATGAAAAGCTAAGCCGCGGCCTGCGATACTATTACGATAAGAATATCATCCACAAGGTCCCGGGGAAGAGATACGTCTATCGGTTTGTGTGTGATTTAGAATCTATGCTTGGAATGTCCTTCATAGAGCTTCAGCAGCAGCTCAAAGGAGATTGCGTTGAAGGATCGAAGCCAATCAAAATAGAGCGACAGAGGTCTTGCCCCCAGGCCATCCCTCCCCCTCAGTTGTCTCACGGGATGGGGATGTTCCCCGGGGGAGGGGCTAGTGGTGTCCATTACATGCCGCAGGACGTTAACATGCAGGGCTTACATATAAATAGTCCAGGACATTCTCCTTATGCTGTGTCACCTTTATCTACTTCACCAGTCATGAGGGGCTACATGCAATAAAAATTGTTATTTTTTGTTATTTAATTATTATTATTATTATTATTGATGCAATGTTGTAATTTCTTTCCCTCTTTTTTTTCATTCAGTAACTGCAGCAACTCAATCATAAAATGCATTTCTTTTTTCATCTAATGTAATGTTAATTATTATTATTATTATTATTACTATTACTTTTTCAGGAATTATTTTTATTATTAAAATTAAGCACCCCCTAGTTAATTAAAATTTGTTAATAACCAGTAGATCACGTGACTTATGTGTGCCTAAACGGAAGTAATCTTCTCCGCAACTTTGTCCCTTAGGGCGGAAGTCTTCTCTTTTCCTTCTTTCTCTCCTTATTTCTTCTCTAGAAAATCCTTTTTCCTCTCGTTATTTCGTCAAGTAATGAGCATTTTATATCTATTGACTTTTTTAAAATCTCATTTGGTTCTTTTTCAATCATTTTAGGCCAAGTCCCGCCATATTCCTTTGCCTACCCCTAACTTCATCCATTCCGAGTCTTATCTAATCCCTCTCCCCTCGCCTGAGGATAATGTCTAAAGAAGGAGAAGAAATGGAGGCCAGTGAATCACAGGAGACAGCTTCTCCTCCTACTACTACTCATTCGCCGCTGCGGCCGGTAGGGGCAGGTAGGCCCTAACGCATATCCTCTTCCTCGTTAGAGGGAAGACGACAAAATTTCACAATCTCTTTCTTCTGTTCTTCCTTCTCTCTCCCCGTATTGTGTATATACACATTCTCCCGTTGTCTCTCCCTCCATCTTTTTATTTAAATACAATATTAACTGTCTCTACACTATACCCTTTCTTCCTCTCTGTCTATAACATATTTCACTTTCTCTCTCTCTCTCCTTGTTTAGAGTCAACTGTAACTCCACAAGTCACAAAGTCCTCGCTCTTATCTCCTCCTGTCTCTCTCTCGTCAGACGCTACCAAATCTCCCATTCTCTCTCCTCCTCTATCCTCTGAGATTCTTTCATCACTGATCGCTGCTACAACATCAGATAAACAAGACGAAGTTACAGTCTCTTCTCTTATAGCAGCTGCCACTGGCGTTCCTCCAATTGAAAATCCTTCAGCAGCTGCTTCCGCCAACAATGGAACCAGCACAGCAGCTTCTACTACTACTACTACACCTTCAAAGTAAGCACAATATTTGTAATTTTTTAAATTACGTATTTTTCCTTATTATGTACATGTAGATTTTTAAAGGGTAAAAAAAATTTTGACAGATTGCTAAATTTTGTAATTGGTGGGTTTATTGTAGCCATGTTCCCATTAAAATGGCTGGTTTTATTATGACAACTCCAAATTTGTCAAATTATCCCCTCCAAAATTACCCAAAACTTCATTATTATTGTAAATGTAATTTCGTTGATGTTATTCTTTCAATATAACTAATAATGATTATATATTAATTGTTAGGTCAGCTCCATCCATCACTCCGCTGACAGCAGCTGGTATTACTGGAGGTGTTGGAGGGAATGGTCTCCTACCATGCCTTGTCTGTTACCCAGGAGGGAATAATTATTCCCTGGTTTGGCTCCCTTATGATTCTACAGCTGCTGCCACAAACACTTCCATAGCATCAACTCAGCCATCAGTCCCATCACTTCCTACCACTAGTACCAGTAACGCTACTCAGTCTTCAACTGTTGCTGCCACGCCCACAAGTGTTTCCATGGTAACATCTCCTCCTGCTCTTTCTCCTCCTCACACCACCTCAGGTGACATCAGTCCGGCCGTTACTCCTAACAACCCGCTGTTGCCTAGCAACCTGTCGGCGGCCATTACTCAGAGTTATCTCCAACTGTTACAGCTCCAGCAACTTCAGCAGCAGCAACAGCAACAAGCCAGCAGCACTAATGCAGCAACTGCCTCAGCTTCTATACCTTTTGTATCACCACACTCTTCATTCATGAGCTCAAGCAATGACATATTGACGCAGTCCATTTCTTCTAATAACACACAAGTTACCCAGTCTCACAACTCAGGTTAATTAAGATTTAAATTAATTAAGATCAAAATAATTATCTTTTCTTTTATCTGCTATCCCTCCCTCTCTCCCTCTCTCTCTCTCTCTCTTGAGTCTTCAAAACATTATTATGCTGATAATTTTTATTAATTTTTTTAGGTCCTCCTCAAGTTGAATTCAATACAGGTTCTCAGATCCAGTTGTGGCAGTTTCTCCTTGAGCTCCTGACGGACCGTGAGAGCCAGTCCTGTATCAAGTGGACCTACAAACAGGACTGGGAGTTTAAAATTGTTGACCCCCCTGAGGTCGCAAGACGCTGGGGGGAGAGAAAAAACAAGCCCACAATGAATTACGAGAAGCTAAGCAGAGGTCTTCGGTATTATTACGATAAAAATATAATAAAGAAGGTTCATAATCAGAGATATGTTTATTTGTTTGTGTGTGATTTGGAATCTCTGCTTGGCCTTTCTTTCACTGAGTTGCAGAAAGCTCTTACAGCAAGTGGGGAGCAGGGTACGGCGATTACGATTGAGAAGAAGTTAAACACAACAAAGAAGAGTAATTAATAGTTTGGCTGGAAGAGAGAGAGAGAGAGGGACAGAAAGAAATAAACACGTTCATTAATTTATTATTACATTAATAATATCATTCATTTTCATCGACTTTTTCTTTAGAAACACAGTCAGTTATATTATTAATACTTTTCCTTTTTGTCAATTGATAAGAATTTTTTGTCATTTTCCACTTTTAAAATTTAATACATAAGTCCTTATGGTGCTGCAATGGGGCTACATTAATTATAGTCACATATGACGTAATAAGTGGCCTTGTTGCTCTTTAATTAGAAATATAAAAGTCTGATAGTCACGTGATCACCCACGTGGTGTGCATTGATTGCAGCATGTCTTCATCAACGGGTTCTTCTGGTGGTGAAGGAGGAGGATTAGCAAGATGGCAGGTGGTGGTAGCTGCTGTGGGAGTTAGTGTAGCTGTTGCTGGTACAGTGGGGGCCGTGTATTGGCTCTGCTCCAAAGGAGGGAGTAAGAAAGGCTCGAAACCTGAAGCTGATAGTAGAGTGAACTCGTTAACCAGTGAGACTGGATCAACTGGTCATAATGAAGATAGAGAACCAGTGAGTATAATAATAATATGATGATAATAATATTAACATGAATGATTATATAATTACATGTAATTGGGAGGGGCTAGTTATTTTATTAATTAATGTTTGGAGATTGTTCTTAATTATTTTGATGTTTTTATTCTATCTTAGTCTGCCTTAGAGAGAGCAAGAGAGGCTAAGTCTCGTGGTAATGCATTATTCAAACAGAAGCAGCTGGAGGAGGCACTCAAGTGCTACAAGGAAGCAATAGAGATTTGTCCTCCTGAAGAAACTGATGACATTGCAACCTTTCATCACAACATTGCAGCTGTGTATGACAAAATGGTCGGTTATATAAATGATATATATTTTATTAGTTTTAAAATTTTTATCATAGGTTGTTGATTGTACTGATAATGATGAAAAAGTACAGTATATCTTGCATTATTCTGTTTATTTATTTATTTGTTATTAATTTATTATTTGCTTGTGTTGTTGTACATGTACTTATTTTGACTTGTTTTTAGGTGATACTCTGGGAAGGTATCAGAGGTCATTGCACTGAAGCAATTAAACTAAAACCGAAATATATAAAAGCTATTTTTAGAAGATTTCATGCAAATCGTGCACTGAATAACAAAAGAGAAGCTTTATTAGGTACAATAATCTTAATTATTATTTTTTATTTTTATATGTTTGTTTGTTTGTTTGTTTGTTGTTTAGATGTTACAAGATTGATGATCCTAGATGAAGACAGTATGAAAACGTTAGCCGAGTTAGCACAATCGTTATTCAAAGACGTTTCCAAAGAATTGGCTGAAGAGAACTTCCCAGTAAATAACATCATAATATTATAGTATCAATCATATAATTATTATTTATTTAGAAATTAGGAGCTCTTGAGCCACCTACTCAACTGGTCAGGACATACTTCAACTCGTTTCTTTGGAAAGGTTTGTGTGTTGCTATGGTTACTTGTTGCTATGGCGTTTCTAGATGACATATCTCGAAGCCGTCTGAAAGAATTATGGGATGGAGCAGGAGGGGATGTGGATCGTTTTGACGATGAAGCGTTCGTCAAGGCAGCTGGGCAGTTCCTTTCCGGACAGTACAGTGGTATCATTGACGTATTGACTCAAGCTGTGAATGAAGGTTTAGTAACAATTAATTAATAACTTTTAATTATTAGTTAATTTATTAATTAGGTCACGAAGTGTTTAAATCTCGTTCCCTATTGTTGCGAGGGACCTTACTGAGTCTCTGGAGACGTGAAACTGATGCCATGAATGACCTTAGATCCGTCCTATCACTGCCTGACGTGCCTTCTGAAGTAAGTCATGTATACTCTATTTCTATTTAATGCCCATCGTCATAGTTACTAGCTGATGCCCATATAAAGATAGCTGCTATATATGCTGGCCTGTCTCAAGTTAAGGAATGTTATGAGGAGTTTGACAAAGCCTTAAACGAGAAACCTGATCACGTTGATGTGTTTATGCAGCGAGCTAGAGTATGTTTTTATTAATTGGTAATTTGGTATTTTAATTATTGTTTTTTTTTTAGGTTGCCATGGAATCAGATGATCCTAGTGTTGTTCTAAAAGGAGTCGATGACTTAGAAATTGTTTTAAAATTATCTCCTACTTCATCCATAGCGCTATACTGCATGGGGTGGGTGTGGCTAATATCAATAATGAATTAATAATTATTTTATTGGTTCATTCTCAGGTCAATGTATCACAGAGCTGGTCTTCTGTCAAGGTCTATACATTTCTTTGAAGGCGCTAGATCAAAGTTTGAACAAGCATACAAATCAGCTCCTGGTCTTGCCGAGGGACTTTTACTATATGCACTGGTAAGAGTCATCAGAAAATAATATAATAAAGTTGAGAGTGATTTTGGAGCCCATTTTTTGATTAAAGCATGGGTACAGGGTATAAGGTACAGAAATTTTTTAAATGGCCATAACTCAAAGATTTTAGCTCGGAATCAATTCAAACTTTCTACACAGCATAAGAACATCAATATGTATCAAAAAATGTAATGAAAATTGGGGGTGATTTTGGAGCCATTTTTTGGAAAAAACCATGGGCTATAGTACAGGGAAATTTTCAGAAATTTGGCTCATTTTAAAAATGACGATAACTCGAAAAATCTAAGTCGGAATAGTCTCAAACTTTCTACACAGTATAAGGACATCAATATGTATCAAAAAATGTAATAAAAATTGGGGGTGATTTCGGAGCCATTTTTCAGAAAAAAGCATAGTACAGGGTACAATGTATGTATAGCAAAGAGCTGAGCAGCGCTATTATTATTAATTAATTAATAGTTTCTACAAGATGTTGAGGAGGTACAATTGTCTGAGGAGATATTGCACAAAGCAATAGAACTGGAGCCTGACAATGCTTCAGCCCATTTCACCATCAGCATCTTGTACCTGCTGGCTCACAGGGACATGGATAAAGCCATCAACAGCCTAAGAACAGCAATTGAGATGGACTCCTCCTGCATACAGGCTTATGAAACACTGGCGTCACTGGAAATGCAAAAGTATGTAGTAATAATACTAACAGTAAATCCAATAGTGATTATCCTTGTGTTATAATCTTAGAGGCAATAAAGAGAAGGCTCTGGAGCTGTATGATGCAGCTGTTAAAAACTCAAGATCAATTTTAGAAATGCAGCAAGGATACTTAGCAAGAGAAGTATTCACAACACAAGTAATTTCTTTTAGTATATATTTAGTTTATTAATGTCATATTTTTATATTACTTAGAACGAGGTGTGTGATGAATATGGGATTGATCCTGTGGAGTTATTGACCTCAAGGATGGCCTCATTCTCCACTGGTGCAGCTAATAACTGAGCAATAATGATGTACATTATTATTATACTTATTGTCGTTATTTGTGTGTCAATTGTCAATTTCTTGAAATTTGATTAGAGGATTACAATTCACTAAATCATTTCCGGAAAATGAACAGAGAGATTGAGAGAATACGGATACTAGTTTAACGCCCACGCATGTAATTATCATGAGGGTGTGTATTGTCACGTAATAATTTAAAGATGGCGGAAAGTTTGTCAGATAGCTTATCTCGTCGAGGTTTGCCTTCTCTAAAGGAAAGTGACGTGTCTCCCTCGCCCTCTCCTCTCTCTTCAACCAAACTTTTTTTGGATGTGGAATTAGAGCAGCTAGCTGATTTCAATGGCGTCACTCTTGGAGTTTGTGCCATGAACAAGAAGGTTTGCATTGCTTCATATTTAAATTTGTTTATTTGTATCTTTTGCAGAGTTTCTCTGGTCCAATGAACAGTATATTGACGCGTATTGGTAGCCACGAACACGTTAGAGTGATCATATTCACTGACAACACAATCCTCTACAAACCAGTGGAGGAATGGCCGTACTGCGATGCTCTCATTGCATTTTATTCTAAGGTGATTCCTAATTGATGCCCGCCTCAGTTTATATCTAGTTTTAGGGTTTTCCGCTAGACAAGGCGTTGAGATACGTTAAATTAAAATCACCGAAAATGCTCGTGAATGATTTGGAGATGCAGTATGCCCTGATGGATAGGTTAGCTATTTTTAATAAATTAATTTTAATTAAATAATAATTACTTTTGTACAGACGTAAGGTATATGACATTCTAGTTAAGAATGGCATTGAGGTCCCTCCTCATGTTATCTGTAATCGTGACGGGAGTGATAAAGGATTAAAAATATCTGAAGTCGATGAGGATACTCTCGAAGTGAATGGAGTAACGTTTCACAAACCTTTTGTTGAGAAACCCATTTCTGCCGAAGATCATAATATTTATATTTACTTTCCCTCGGATTATGGAGGAGGCTGCCAGAGACTGTTTAGAAAAGTAACGATGTAGGATTGGCAACAATGAACTCTCTCTCTTTCTTTCCCTTTTCTTCCTCCTCTTTTCTTCTCTCTTTCTCTCTCTTTGTCGTAAGGTTAAAGATCGTTCCAGTACCTATTCTAACGAAAGCAATGTCAGAAAGGATGGTTCCTACATTTATGAAGACTTCATGGCAACTGATGGAACTGACGTGAAGGTAATTAACTATTATTAATATTATTATTATTATTTAACCATTAATATTAATTAACTATTATTAATAAACAGGTGTATACAGTTGGTCCTGATTATGCTCATTCTGAGGCTAGGAAATCACCAGTATAAATATTAATTAACAGCAAATTAATTAATTGATAATGAATAATTAATTAGGCACTCGATGGTCGTGTGGATAGGGATGACAGAGGCAAAGAAAAGAGATTTCCTGTTTTACTCACGACGAAAGAAAAAGTGATAGCAAGAAAAGTTTGCATCGCCTTTAAGGTAAATAATAATATTTAAAACTATTTATTTATCTATTTATTTATTTATTTATTTATTTATTTATAGCAAACTGTGTGTGGTTTTGACCTGTTACGTTCCAATGGTAACAGTTACGTGTGCGACGTGAACGGGTTTAGCTTTGTTAAGAACTCTGACAAGTATTATGATGACTGCTCTCAGATAATACTGTAAGATATGGCATATATATATATTGTTGTATTAAAAATAATAAATATTTCTCATTACATTATTTCAGTGAGAGTATATTATCGAAAGTAGCCCCTCACTATATTCCTGAGAATGAACCTTCGATTGCTCATTTAGCTCCAACAGTCCCTGTACCTATCTTCTCCAGGGGACGGTAAGAAACTTAATAACGATTAATAACCATTAATAATCACTATTAATAACCATTAATAACCATTAATAACTATTAATAACAGGTGTGAGCTAAGGTGTGTCATTGGCGTTATAAGACATGCTGATCGGACTCCAAAGCAGAAGATGAAGATGATTGTGAGACACCATTACTTCTTCAGTCTGTTTGAAGAACTGGGCGGATACAAAAAGCAACAGATAAAGATAAAGAAACCAAAAGAATTACAAGTTAGTTAATTATTTTTGTTTTTGTTGTTAATGTTGTTTGTTGTTTGTTGTTTGTTTGTTGTTGTTGTACATAGAAAGTTCTTGATATAGTTCGTAAGTTAATTAATGAAGGAGAAGATGATGAAATATTTTTTAATAAATTGCAACAATTAAAGACAGTCTTAGAAATGTAAGTCCCCACTGACCATTAGTTGTATATCTACACATTGTACTATCTCTCCTATTAAGATTAGTACTGTAATGTATGGTGTATCTACATGTATAGTTATTATTATTATTATTATTACTAGGTATGATCATTTTTCTGGTATCAACAGAAAAGTTCAATTCAAACTAATTCACAAAGACATTAACAATACGCCACTAGAAAGTACGAATCTCATTATCATAAATAATAATAGTTATTATTATTCATTAATTATTAGGTCCTGCATTATTATTAATAGCTAAGTGGGGCGGTGAGGTTACTCCAGCTGGTGAGAGGGTTGCCGAGGAGTTGGGTAAGGCATTTCGCTGCATGTATCCTGGAGGAGAAGGAGAGTATTCATTACTACCAGGATCAGGGTTCCTCAGACTCCACAGCACTTACAGACACGACCTAAAGGTGTTGAGAATCGCTCATTTACGTGTACATGTATATTTATCTGATGCATATACATGTACTTATGTTGCGTGGAAAGTTTGAGCTGATTCCGATCAAAATTGAATTTGTTACAAATTTGTAAAGTTGTTCCAAAATTGGGCCAAAGTCCCTGTACTACAGTACAGGGTCACAAGGCAAATTTTGCCAAAAATTACTTGGAGGGAATTCTTCATTTTTATAATTTTTTGATGCATATACATGTACTTATCTTGTGTAGAAAGTTTCAGCTGATTCCGATTAAAATTGGATTTTTTTACAAATTTAATTATTTCTCTTTCTTTACATTCTATTGTATTTCTTTAGGTGTATGCTTCTGACGAGGGGCGTGTCCAATTATCGGCAGCTGCATTTACAAAAGGGCTGCTTGATTTAGAGGGTAACATGGCGTCGATATTAGCCCACCTGGTAAAGATGGACCAGAATACAACGGACATGCTTGACACATCCTCTGACGCCGCTGAATCACTGAACAGGTTATTAATACTAATTAGTTAACTATTACTAGTTATTAATAGGGTCAAGCAGGATTTGCATCAAATGCTCCAGTCAACTCGTGATTTTGATGCAGAAGCAATAAAGAATGTCAGTTTTTGTTGTTTACTTTTTATTGTTTTTATTCTTTTATTTGTGTCTACAGTTAGCTCCTACTCTATCTCCTCCATTACTAGCTGCTATTAAAGAAGTTAAGAATCCTCACAAAACCTGCCGGACGATACAGGAAAATTTAAGAACCTTAGTCATGAGTTTTGAAGACATTGCCAGGAAAAAATCAGACCGTAAGCACCCCCTCCCTCCAGACATACTTTAAAATTAACTATGACATGTACATAAACATGTACCTGGTTAAATTGACACTATTCAAATTTGAATGTTTGAGATACTATTTTTTAATTGGTCCTCTCCAATTTTTATTGCATCACTTCATTGTTATATTTATTATTTTCTTATACAGTGCAACTGTATCATGGAGAGTCCATCAAGTTAGCGATCAGTCGTTGGAAGAAACTTGAAAAGGATTTTGTGTTAAGTAACGGAAAGTTTGACATCAGTAAAATACCTGATATATACGATTGTATAAAATATGATCTACAACACAATAGGTACATGTGTATTTTGTACTTTTATTTTCTATTTTATTATTTCATTTTTAGGATATTAGAGTTATCTGATGGTGTTTCACTGTACAAAGCAGTTTCTAATCTCGCTGATATTGTCATACCATTAGTAAGCCTTTATTATTATTATTATTATTATCATAATTAATTTTATTATTATGCATGTGCTTTCATTGCTTCACAGGAGTATGGTATTACAATTGAAGATAAAATCAGTATAAGTAAAATAGTCTGCAGACACCTATTAAAGAAGATCAGGGCTGATCTAAGCCACACCTACAACATTGGATCAGACTTTATACATAGACTAGACCCAAAGTCAGCTAATTAATATTCATTGATGCTCGTCATTATTAATTAATATTCATTCTCGTTAATTGTTAGGAAGTCAAAAGGTGTCATTAGTCCTGATAGATGTGTCAGGACTAGGTTATACTTTACCAGTGAGTCCCACATCCATTCTCTAGTCAACATATTGAAATATGGCGGCATCCCAATACCAGTAAGTGGGTATTGTACAGCTGGAAAAAATGGTGGGAATTTATCGAATATACATGTAGTTATACATGCTTACATTTACATGTACATGTACAAGTTAAAGCCATGAATGTATGGATATAATGGATTTCTCCTCACTCTTTTAAGTATTTTTGTGACAATATAAATTGTACATGTATATCTGCAATCTACACATGTATAACTAATGCTTGCAAGTTTCAGCATTTTATTTTTTTATTCCATAGGAAGAGAATTATGGAAAGCTACACGATCCACCTGAACTGAATTACTTGTCTCAAGTCGTCTTTATGGTATTTGAGAACAAGACTGAGCCAATCGACAGTTACAGATACCGAGTGGAGGTTCACTTTAGTCCGGGGGTCAAGTCAAGAAAGAGACTTTTGAAAGGAGAGCCAATATCGGAAAATGTGTCGCTCACGAAATTAAAGAAGATGCCACTAGTCGATACACCGTCGACAGGAGGAGGAGGTAACAACTCGCAGCCTCTTCGGAGGAGAAGCGCTCAATCATCATCAGCTGCTGCTGGAGGTATAGTATATTATTCATGTACTCTCAGGCTTGATTTATGTTACAAAATTTAGCCACATGGGCCCTCCCGAATTTATACATAACAAGTAAATAAAAAACATTAAAAATGGAAAAGCAGTAGGATTAAAAATGGGAAAAAGTAAAGAAACAAGAGAGTACTTGCAAACTGGTGTGAGAAGATATCCTACACCACTGCATGAAACATAAAACCCTCACTAGTGTAACTGTGTAAGCCTTTATGGTGCATGCTCAGTATTTGGGAATAATCATAGTCTTTTGCAGCCTGCAGGTTCATGCAGTGGTGTAGGATATCTTCTCACACCAGTTTGCAAGTACTCTCTTGTTTCTTTACTTTTTCCCATTTTTAATCCTACTGCTTTTCCATTTTTAATGTTTTTTATTTACTTGTTTCCATTCTTTTTTCTTAAATTAAGAAATTACATTATGTTTTGATTCTGTGGTTAGGTTAATCATATTCATGCTAATCACGTGCGCATAAATTAAAATGGCGTCAAACCACAAACCCACGCGGTGTCTGCAGCTGGATTTTGACTTCCATTTTGTTCTCTCCTTGCTTTTTTTTGAATCCACCTTTGTGGTCCTTGACCCAAGCACAAAGGAATGATGTAAAAGCCAACTGGAGCGGTTCTCTGGCTTAAAAGATTAGAGGGCCCATAGAAGAAGATGAAAGAAGAAAAAGTCTGAAGAATTTTGCAGAAATTTGAATTTGGGCCTATTCTTTAAAAAAGCTCTCGCTACATTACAGTCCACTTTAAAGGTACCAGGAGAATCGCTCAGTGAAGGAGAGCTCATCTAAGCCATTTATAAGGCTGTACAACGTAAGATAAAAGAGTTATAAGTGTTTGAAAATCATAAAAACGGTCGCCATCTTGAAAAACCAACCTCAATCCTACATATAGGCTACCGCCTATATAATATTGATTTGCTCTCTTGGTTGAAAACTACATGTAATTCCTATTACAGTTATATTTTGACTATAGCATAATGTTGCCAATGGTTACCTATGAATATCATTATAGATACAATGTAAGGTGCAACCCACAATGAACTTTTCAAAAATGATAGCATATAACTGATCCAGGAGTTTAGCTGTTGTCACAATAGACGTTATTACTCCTTATGTAACAATTTTTGTAAGGGATAATATCCCTGTCCCGAGTGTCCTATAACTCATTTAAACATTAACTTTATTACTGAGCTATATCATAATGCAGCAATCTTTAGTATTACAATGTCTGTGTGTGTGTGTGTCTATGCATAGAATCACCCGATGATGATACACTGGGTCTGAGGAAGGAGAGATTGAGAAAGTTTGTACAGGATGGTCCAGATGGTCATAGGAGAAGTTCTCTAGAAGGATACAAATATAGTCCGCCCAGTAAGAGATATAGTCACATGACACTCACATGATCTATATTATTATTATTAATAGATTCTGATAGTTTGGTCTCTGTTCTAGAGCCATTGAGTTACATAACTTCAATGGACTTACACCAGATGGAGAAAGGCCTTGCTAAACTATGTGTTGACTTTTAATTATTATAAATTATATATCATCTATTATTATTATTATTATTATTATTATTATTATTATTATTATTATTATTATTATGTTTTTAACTATTATTATTGTTATTATAATTTATAAAATTATTATTATTATTATTATTATTATCATAAGACAAGGAATAGAAACACCGACAAAAACAAAACACTAACAATGACAAAACAAAAAGGAGAGAGGAATTACAATAAGGAAATGAAAGAAAGGAAAGGGGAAAGAAAAGAAAAGAAAAGGGAAGAGGAGAGGGGGAGTAGAGTTAAGTGGGGGGGGGTTAGAGGATAATGGAAGTGACGGAAGGCAAGCCTGAAGCATCAGTGAATTGCCCCTCTGAACAGCAACTGCTAGACGTTGGAATTATTATTATTATTGTTATTATTTATAATTGTTTATATAAAGGAGAGTTTGAGTTTATAAATAATAATAATGATGATGATTCTGTAGCAGTTACTGTACTGAATTTTAACATATTAGATCATAGGCACAATGTATATATACAGTCGAATTCCAAACACCTTGGGCCTGAGATACTTTCATAATAAGTTGGGCCCCAACTTATTATGAAAGTATCTCTATTTTAGAGGTTCATTAATACAGCTATACTTGTCCTGATGATAGAGGTGACTGTTTACTCGCTATTATATAGATAGTGTCTAGAATAGCAGATAGCACAATAGAAGTTATTTTCACTATTATTTATTTTGCATGTCAATGCATGACGCCCACGCTAACACGCTTGCCAATATGTCGGGAGACTGCCCTAACGGCTCTGATCTAACCTCAGAGGAGAAGAGGATCATCCTGTCCGTGTATGGAGGAGAAGGAATACTATCAGCCACTGTATGTCTCACTGCATTACTCATGATTATAAAACTCAAGTATTACAAAGACACGGTACAAAGGCTATTGTTATGGCAGCTGATAGCTGGCCTGGGTTTGTCCTTGTATAACATGCTCAACTTGTTATTCATCAATTATGATGAGGAGACCAGCTCCAGGGCCTACACTGTACTGTGCTCTATTGTGGGATACATTGGCACTGTGACCTTTTTTGTTAAAATAGCTTTCACCCTCTGGCTGACGATATTTCTATTTCGTTGTCTTGTGTGTCTCAAGGATCCAAAAGAACTCAGTAAAATGGAGATACTCTACGTCAGTACATCACTAGGTCTTCCATTACTAGTCTCACTGGTCCCTTTCATTCATCATTCGTACGGTATTGCAGGAGCTTGGTGCTGGATTAAAGAGTGGAAGGATGACTGTGCTTCTGATGAAAAGCTGGTTCTTGGAGTCATTTTTGAAGATGCATTTTATAGCTCAGGGGCAGTCATTGCTCTGACCAATGCTGTCCTTATCACCATAACTCTGTCCACAGTTCTTTGTAGAATAAGGTGCAGCTGTGTTGGGTCTTCATCGTCAGAAAAAGAGCAGCTTTTAGAGACAGTTCAATTAAAGCATAAGAACTTATTAAAGAAGCTGCTGCCACTTATAGCTTATCCTCTGGTGTTCTTATTCTTGATAATATTTCCACTAACAAACAGGATATATGGAGGCATTGGGAAAAGGATCAGTTTCCCTTTGTTCATGCTACATGCAGCTGTTGAGCCTTTTTGGGGTCTCTTTGTCGGTGTTGCAATAATAGTTCACATTGCAGTCATTGAGTATAAGAAAAAGACTAAAAAAATCCACTTTAAAGTTCCTGTGGTTACAGGAGTTCAGTCAATGAGGAGGTACAATGCATTATCTCCAGTAGATGATGCTTACACAGTAGATACTGTTGCTGCCACAAGTGCTAAAACCACATTTGAGCCTTCAACAGAGAGTATAGACAACTGCAGCTGCACTGATGATAATATTAATGGCTCTATAGTTAGTACTGATGTTTATAAGTAATAATAATTATTATTTTATTTGATTGTTTTGTATTTTTATATAATTTTTTGATGTAAAGATTAATCATTATAATCATGAAAAGCTTACATCAAATGGAAAATCCTATGCATTGCTGTAGTTGTATTTTACAAGAAGTAGTTATTATTATTTCAGTGTCAATGTCCGTCACCATTTTGGAGTCTTTAAAGCTTTTTCACTATTACCAGCTCCACCTGTAGCTTTATTTAAATTGTCTGCTGTATCAGTCAATATGTTTACCTCAAGCCTATAATAATTATTAATACTTAATAACTATTAATGACTTTATTGGACTAACTCTGGTCCTGTTTTCCATGTCTGCCCCTCGTTATCAATTAAATTGATTTCAATTGATACGTCATATTGACCCGAATGTGGAAACTTTATTAGAAATTCGCCGACAAAGTAATCATTTTTAATGTGCGATATTTTCTCTAGTTCTTGTAGCCTAGGATGCTAATTAAAAAGAAAGAAAAAAACAAAAAAAAATCAATACAAAAATAAAATAATTTTAGGCATTTTTTAACAAACTTTAAGTGTTCCGTCTATTAATTTCTTTATTTGAGGAACAACTTTTATCAGCACATTAACGGGGCTCCGATAAATTCCTAATCAAGCATGATGCAAAAGAATTAAAATTTGATTTTAAAATTTAAATATTTAAGTTTTTAAAGCCTTTACTTTGCCCATCATGTTGAATGACGCCTTCAACTTTGACTGAGAACTGCTCCTCAATTGGAATATTAATAGTGGAATTAGTATCTGATGATGGAGTTATTACTAACTATAATAAATAAATAAATAAAATTAATAAATAAATAAATAATAGTCCAACCTGTATATTGGTGGTCTGATAAGAGACAAAGAAAGATGGCGGAAGTAAAAAAGGAACACTCAACAAACTTAATGTACAATCTTTAATGACTGACAAATGCTAACAAAAATAACAACAATAAATAAATAATTAAATAAATAAATAAATAATAATAATAATAATGATAATAATAATAATAAATTACTTCATATGTGATTGGCATATCTCTTAGTCTTACAGCTGCTGACTGGGAGGAAAAAATAATAAAAATAAATAAATAAAATAAAAAAATTAAAAAAAAATAATAATAATGCACTTGTATAAGTATTCTAACTTGTGCTTTGAGGAGTACGTCATTGCAGGTGCTTCCAATTAAGAAGTGAGTGTTGAAATCAGAACTGGTCTCCTCCAGCGAGTGCAGTGATGATGACAAGAGAGGAGTACTGACGGAATGAACAGGACTCAGTAGTGGAGTGGAAACTGAAGACGTTGTCAGTAGAGAACTGATCACATTCATCATTAATGTACACGACTGCTGTATACTGTATAAATTATAATGAAAGAAAATATTTAAGTAATATCCTGGAACGTTTGAGCTGATTCCACGGAGTTATAAAATGAGCCAACTTATGAAAAATACCCTGTACTATAGCCCATGGTTTTTTTGAAAAAATGGCTCCGAAATCACCCCCCATTTTTATTACATTTTCTGATACATATTGATGTACTTATGCTGTGTAGAAAGTTTGAGCTGATTCCAACTTCAATTTTTCAAGTTACGGCCATTTTTAAAAATGAGCCGATTTCTGAAAATTTCCCTAGCCCATGGTTTTTTCCAAAAATGGCTCCGAAATCACCTTCAATTTTTATTACATTTTCTGATACATATTGATGTCCTTATGCTGTGTAGAAAGTTTGAGCTGATTCCGACTTTAATTTTTCAAGTTACGGCCATTTTTTAAAAAGTGCCGATTTCTGAAAATTTCCCTGTACTATAGCCCATGGTTTTTTCAAAAAAATGGCTCCAAAATCACCTCCAATTTTTATTACATTTTCTGATACATATTGATGTACTTATGCTGTGTAGAAAGTTTGAGCTGATTCCGACTTTAATTTTTCAAGTTACGGCCATTTTTTTAAAAAGTGCCGATTTCTGAAAATTTCCCTGTACTATAGCCCATGGTTTTTTCAAAAAAATGGCTCCAAAATCACCTCCAATTTTTATTACATTTTCTGATACATATTGATGTACTTATGCTGTGTAGAAAGTTTGAGCTGATTCCGACTTTAATTTTTCAAGTTACAGCCATTTTTTAAAATGGGCCAAAATCTGAAAAAATCCCTGTACTATAGCCCATGGTTTTTTCCAAAAAATGGCTCCGAAATTACCCCCAATTTTTATTACATTTTCTGATACATATTGATGTAATTATGCTGTGTAGAAAGTTTGAGCTGATTCCGACTTCAATTTTTCGAGTTACGGCCATTAATAATGCCAATAATTAAGGTACTCACCACTCCTATGGCTTCATACGAAAACAAAGCATTCCCAAAGAACAACGCCAACTTCTCAGCAGTACCGAAACTATCCAATTGTGGGTGTGGCTGAACAACTTCAGCTCGGCCGTTAACAAGCTGTGAAATCTCGTCATAAATAATGACAGCCAGTCCAAAAAGGATGCAGAGGTTAGCCAGCATAGAGAGAGAGGAGAGATGGTCCAGATTCCTTATCCAACTGAGCAGGATAACTGGTATTAATATGATTAGAATCCATATCCTCTTGTCATAATGGATACAATATGTCTCTTGAACTATCTATAATGGGAGGGAGAGAGAGAGGGGGGGAAGGAACAAGTTACGTGAAGCTCAATTATCAAAATTTAGTGGCCCAAAAATTTCACAATTTTCTATTTTGTGACTTTTATTTTTCTTTTAGCAATGCTAAACCACACATGTACTTAACAAAAAACCCACAGAATCCATTTTGGGACATGAAAATTTTCTGCTTTAATTAAGGAAGTTACTTCTTGAACAGACTGTCCAACAAAGACAAGATAAACAGAGCAGAATCCAAACTGAGTAACCATAAGAAAGATATTAACAATATATCTAAATAAATAAATAAAAATAAATAAAAATAAAAATAATTAAATAAATAATTAATAATACTTTCCAGCTCTTGATATTTTGGGACTGCCTCCTTTCCTTTTGATGGCAAACTGCATCGTCTCTGAATAATCCAGTGTAGGCACTTCATAACTATTAATATAAACACTTAATAAACATAAAAATTTGCTACTTTTAAAAATGGCTGTAACTCAAAAAATCAAAGTCGGAATCGGCTCAAACTTTCTACACAGCATAAATACATCAATATGTATCAGAAAATGTAATAAAAATTGGTGGTAATTTCAGAGCCATTTTTTGGAAAAGCCATGGGCTATAGTACAGGGAATTTTTCACAAATTAGCTCACAGAGCATAAGTACATCAATATTAAAATAAACTCATGCTTGTTCCTTACATGTTACAGAGTCTGTTAGCACAATCAACCAGGAGTACCATACAGTGCATTGCTATTAGTCCTAACAGCAATATACCTAATGGGCCTAGCTACATATATTACAAGAGGGAGAGAAGAGATCATTAAATGCCTAATGTCTTATCCTTCATATCTTACAATGTATCCAGCTCCTTTGGTTGCCATAGGCAGAGCAAGCAGTCCTGTACCAATGTTACCTTTTAATAAATGAATGAGAGTTTCAAAATCACTAGAGAAAGAGAGAGATGATTAAATTCAATTATCAAATGTAACCTATACTTAATGATTGCTGCAAGTACATGTACATGCATGTAGATTGAAGCTGTACCATTTACATTATTACAATAGTGATGAATGTACATGTACATGTGATGTTCATACATTACATGATCTTCACTACTTGCGTGGTAACTAATAGTCTCACGTTGTGGCGTGTTCTTTTCTCTTTAGTGCATTCTTTTGAATGATCTCAGCTCTTTCATCCCCCACCACACGAGCCTGTATAGCCACCACACTTCTTACTGACCTACAGTACAGATACATATACAATATACATTATAACAATAAGGAATGGAGCGTACTTGTAGCTTTGACCCTGTACATCAGTGGATAATGGCTTCTTTTCTAATTCCTCAATATCAGCCATTTCTAACACTAAACCACGCCTAATAGCTCATGAATATATTCATGTGTAGGTACTGCTATCATTTTCAAATTTAAAAATATTCTTTAAAAAATCAAAGTAGCAAATGATTAGTTTTGATGATTACTAAAATTACAAGTACCTGGACAAGCAATGTATATATCATGTATCAGTGTAAAGTCTTGCACAGTACTATACATGGAGGCAATGAGTCCACATGCAAACACAATCACACCAAACATTATAACTGCAATATCTATTACAAACAGTAGTGGGATGCAAGTAAAAGTTTTCTTCTGTCTTTCTTCTTTTTTATCTTCCTTTGTATCTTCTTTTGTATCTTCTTCTCTTTCCTTCCAGAAAGTTAACAGATGAATGATTGATGGGAATATCAAAGCTAATGTAGTGCTGGCTAATGATCCAATCAGCGTAAGAAGATCGCCTAAGTTTGATATAAACATTGCCACAATAGCTGTGTATGATAGGAAAAAAGAGAATGAAAAAAGTGACTACAAAATTATAGTACCTGTAAAAAGAATGAGTGAAGTTTTATATATTATTCGTACTGCTTTCTCCATTGCATCCTCGTAAATGATAAGCATTGGAGGTAATTTCTCAGCTAATTGCGTAAAAAGTCTGACAATTTCAGGCTCAATGATATTCATTGGTATATAAAACTGAATACTGTGAGATAAAAATATGCTAAAAATCAGTAAAAGCTTGATCAGCAGCATCAAGCTACAAATGGAAGCATGAATTAGCAATTAAATAGATAATCTCATCTTACATGGTGATAGGAATTTTTTGGGGACACAAGTTCATTATAACAGACGACATTGTGTTCTCTCCATATGTCAAATATCCAAAAACACCAAAGAATGTGTACCATAGTGTCACTATAAACATGGAGAGGTAAACAAGAGGCTTTGCATGTGACGGAGTCTTCATTTTACTCTCCAAAGAGAGTATCTAAAATCACAAGTTACTTTAATGCTTCAATGTGCATAACACTCATGCTCTTACTGTACTAGTCCTCTCAAAAGTGAACACAGTAGTTCCTAATAACATGGAAATGCCGAAGACAGTACCAATTTCATTTAATTCCTCTTCATTGGAGATAAGAGCAGCTTTCTTGTCGTAGAACCAATGAACTTCATCATAGAGGACAATAGTTAGTCCAAAGGTGAGAGCTATCTTGGTAAGGAATGAGAGGGGGGCAAGATTATCAAGACAGGAATATAGTACAAGTGGAAAGATTGCAATGGCGACAAACACCTTGTATGATATAAAGACACAGAAAGCTTGTTGAAAAATCTAAAAATAGATGAGACAACAAAAGTAACGATAGGAATTTAGTTCAAACTTCTTGCAACACCAAACCAAAGTACACAAAGTAAATGGAGCAGAATCCAAGTTGTGATATCAAAATAGACACATTAACGGTATACCTATAAATAAAGGTGCATTGACATCATTGCTTGTTATTATTGAGTTTCAATTTACTTTCCGATCCATACTATTCTTGGACTAGCTTCCCTTTCTTGGAGTGCAAGCTGCATGGCTTCAGAATAAGTAAGAGATGACTCTTCATTCCTATAAACAAGACTGTAGTGATTGCAGTAGCTGATAATGTTACCATTTGCATAATTTGCTTGAACTTTCCACCAGCCTTCCCAAGCAATAAGTTGCCATGCCACCAATTATCAGCATTCCTATTGGACCTAACTGCATCAATAAACAAAGTCAAAACAATAAACCTGGCACTGATAAACAAGGAACAATACTTTTAGACAAAAATGAAATAGTAAGAGATTATAGATCTAACTAGTCATAGTAGAAATATTAATAGTTTAACAGAAACTACTATACTCTTGGAAAGCATCATAGATTAGTTCATAGTGATGATATAGTACTATGAATGGAATAGCAGCCAAAAAACAGCCTCTGCCAATGTACTGTATATTATAAAATTATATGTAATTGTAGCAGTACGTCATGTAATACAGAGAACTTTGTAAAGAAAAATTGTAACACGACAACTACAAATATACATAGCATCTAATTATGCAGTCTTGATACATTAACATGCATCTACTTATTGCCTTACTATATAACCTCCATTCTTTATAGCTAGTGGAAGGGTTAGTATCCATATGCCTAAGTTAGCTCTCAGTAGATGGAAGAAAGTTGCAATGTCACTATATAGAAGATAGAGTAAAGATACTAAGGCTGGAATAGGTAGTGATATGAAGCACCTTTTCTTGTGGTCTTTTTTCTTAGACCTGGTATGAGAGTCTTTGGTCAGTTTTTTAGGCTCATCATCTGAATCAGCAGCATATTCTGTTAACCTACATAACGAGAAAGTAAATTTTAAAATGATAAAGAACGTTGTAATGAACCTTTGCTCTTCATCCTGCATAGCCATCTCAAGAGCAAGCACTTGCCAAGGAGCAGAGCTATCTCCTCCCATGCACACATTAATTGAGCCACACCTTTTAATAAAAATCAATAAAAAACATCATTTTGTGAAGGACATGTATAATAATTGGGAACATGTGCAAAGTCGTTTATGATGCTATTCAGGGATGCAAAAGTGCCGAATGCAAATCCAATCACACCAAAAGTTATAATTGCAATGTCTTTAGAAGCCGATAAATGCTTGCAAGCTCTAGAAAGACACTTCTTTTCATTGGACTCCCTTTCTTCATCTTCCTCCTTCTCTCTTTCTTTCCAAAATGTTAACAGATGAATGAGTGGTGGGAATATCAGAGCTAATGCACTGCTGGCTAATGCTCCTATTAGCGTAATGAGATCACCTAAGTTTGGGACAGTTATTGCAAGGAGAGCTAGATAAACAGAAAATAGCAGTCAATGTACATGGTTAATGGCTACAGGACACACACCTGTAAGAATAACAACTGTTGTTCTAAAACATAATAGCAGTATTTTCTCTATCATATTCTGGTATCTGATACAAGAGGTAGGTAGCTTTTCAGTCCATCTCTCGAAGGCTTTTTGAACTGGAGGCTCCATAAAATCCATTGGCACGTAGAATTGGATACAATAGGATATCAACAAACTAAATATCAATAGGATCTTGATGATTGAAAACAAGCTATATAGTAAAGAAAGCAGTTAAATAACACTGTATTTATAATCAACTCTCACATTGCAGTAGGAATACCCCTTGGACATAGGTTAAGAGTGATGGATGCTTGTATATCTTTACCATATACCAAATATCCAATGAGACCAAACAGAGCATAAGAAAGGACAATTATTGACATGCAAACTAAAATGATGGGTTTTGCATGTGCTGGATTCCTCATCTTATTTTCAAGAGGCAAAATCTAAAGAAAATAATTGTGTATTATTATCATGGAATTAATTCTTACTATGCCTATTGCTTCGAATGCAAAAATGGAACTACCAAAGTACAATGATATGGTAAAGAGATTCCCAATGTTGTCTAAGCCACCAACCATTACAGCTGCTTCTTGAGTACTGAATTTATATACTGCATCATATAATATGATGATTAGTCCTATCAAAATTGATAGATTAGCTAGAATATTAAGTGGAGAGAGATGATTTAGATTCCTTATCCAAGACAAAAGGATCACTAGGGGAATGAAGATTGTAATGACTGCTTTACTGGGCATGTCAAAAGAGAATGCTTCATGTAAAATCTAAAAAAACAAATGTAATCATCATCAAAGTGTCATTTTGAATCTAACTTGTGAGAATGTGTCGCCAAAAAATAAAAAGTAAATTGAGCAGAATCCAAGCTGCGTTATGATGAGAAAAATATTGACTATGAACCTGCATTGAAACACAGCAACAAAGAAATTAGTGCTTTAAGTGATAAGTAATAAGTTGGACACTACTTCTTTCATGATAAATGATGCCAATTGTACTACAGTAATATATACATATTAATATCTCTTACTTTCCCATTTTTGCTACTTTTGGGCTAGCTCCTCTCTCTTTCAATGCAACCTGCATTGTTTCAGAATAGTTTAGACCTAGAACACCATTCCTGTCATTTGAAGTTCATTATATGGTAGATTATATAATAATTAAAATACCATTTGCAGAGCTTGCGTGAACTTTCTACAAGTATTGCCATGCAGTGACTTGCTATGAAACCAATGATAATGATCCCAATTGGACCAACCTGTCAATAACAAAGAACAATAAAACATTATACAAAGATAGGATTGGAGTGTGAAATAACACATGGCAAGTGGCCAATATTGTTTGCCTACATGTATCAGTAGCAGTTCTAGTTCTATTTATAGAATAGAGATATACATGCATTAGTAGCACAAGCAGCAGTAATGAAACCATGTATGAATCATTTAGTATTCCATGAATGAACTAATGCATTAGTTGTGGTTATATCAGGTAATTACTAGTCAATTAGGCTCAAGAAGAACTCTTACTGTGTATCCTGCATTTTTCACAGCAAGTGGAAGAGCTAAGGCTCCAACCCCAATGTTAGCCTTGAGTAGACAGACTGCAGACCCAATATCACTAATAAAAGAATGCCCTATCACTAAAAAGCAGTCGCTATCCTCACAAACCTTGTCAAGTGTTCTCGCCGGCTTCTTTCATTACTTTCTTGCCTGTCTTTCTCGAGGCCATTAGAGTCTGTACCATACTCAGCCAACCTACATCATGTTAGTTTAGTAACTGCTATTGTTGTATCATGAATGTACTAACCTTTGCTGCATTGTATCAGCATCGCAACCAGTCAACCACAAAAACTTGCAACAGCTTAATCAATTTTAATAACTAACTGACCACGCCTTTCATTATTGATTTATTGTCAAAAAATCCTTTTCTGTTTTTTAATAATAAAATGAAAAACCCACCCGCCCAGCCATTAATATATAGACACACACAAACATACATTCCTATAGTTACTATCAGTTATTATTATATGAAAATGTTCATTTGTTCACTTCAAATTCTCTCACACACCATCGACTAGTCCACCACAGCACAGGACGACTGAAATGAAGGAGCACATGTTATTTCGTCCGGTTTATGCTGGAAATCATTCACTATGCTATGAAAAGCTGCAAACGTCCCAAAGAGAAACCCAAGGCTCCCCACAACTATGATAACGACGTCTTTCGTAAACCAGACTACCTTTGGGACCCTGGTTTTAGTCTTCCAGTAGGTCAGTGAGTGAATCAGCGGAGGGAATATCATGGCAAGACCACTGCTGGCAACCGCCCCAACTAACGTAATGAGATCATCTAGGTTAGGGATGCTTAGAGCAAGGACAGCTAAAGAGAAGGGAGAGAGAGTGAAAAAAGAAGGCAACATTATTACAATTTAGAGCAATTATAGAAAAATTAAAAAGATATTTTGCAATATCTCACCGGTAATTAGAACCAGCCCAGATCTAAATCCAAGCTGAACAGCGGTTTTAATGACATTGTGATACTTTGGGAACTTATATGTCAAATAGTCCAGTTTGAGTTTCTTGTACAGCGGAGGCTCAAGGAAGTCCATGGGGACGTAGAATTGAAGCAAATACGATACAAAAGTATTCAAAATAAATAGCAGCTGGACAATGAGAAACATACTGGAGAGAAAACAAAAATATTATTATTATTATTATTATTATTATTATTATTATTATTATTATTATTATTATTATTACTTACATTGTTGTAGCTGCACTCCTTCCACAGAGGTTAAGGGTCACTGAGGCTTGAATACTCTCGCCATACGAGAGATACCCAATGAGACCAAAGAAAGTGTACAGAAGGACAATCAGTATCATCCCAACGTATATCACTCGCTTAGCATGCTGTGGGGTCTTCATCTTGTTCTCCAAAGGCAATATCTGAGAGAAAGAGAGAGAGAAAAATTAAGTAAACAAAATGCCTCTAAAAGTGAAGAGTGATCAAGAGATGAAGATTTAAGAGATTAAGGAGTAAAGCTGGATTTACAATACAACATTAGGCCAGCGTACAGTCAATTTTTAATCAAAAGCGTGGGTAGTTTGACCTTTTGAGGCATGCTTTCCGCTGGAATAGAACCAGATTCTATTCCAGCGTCAACGTAACATCAGGACTAGCATAATATTGTAAATCCGCCTTAAGAAAAAGGAGACTGAGAGTTACAGCTAGGCTACAGTACTATAGTTACCAGTTAGGAACAAAAACTAAAGGTTTATAATAAATTCGAAAAGCATAACTAAATATGCTCACTTTGATGTAACAAACAATTACCCACCTACAAATTAAAAACTATTAATATGAACACACAGGAATAAAAGATAATATAAATTGAAACAGAAAATACTTAAAAATAAGACAAAAAAAGAGCATAAACTCACCACTCCAATTCCTTCAAAAGAATAGACGACATTTCCAAAAAATAACGAAGTTCCTATTATAGTTCCAAAGGAGTGGAGTTGAGTCTCTGACGAAAAACTGGTGTTTCCGGAATTATTGAACGAAATATCGCCAAGTCTAAAAGGAGCTTTGTATTCATCATCGGAGGTTGTAAGTCGGAAGAACTCGTCATAAAAAATGAAGACAAGGCCAAGGAAAATTGCAACGTTAGCAATGATTGAGAGTGGGGCAAGGTTGTCAAGGTTACGAATCCAGCAGAAGATCATGACAGGCAGAATGACAGCTGCTATCCACGCCTCCTTACTAACATTAAGGCAATAAGCTTGATCTAGTAACTGGAGGAGAAAGAAAGGAAATTTAATAGATAAACATGTGTAGCATGTTCTTTAACATTTAACATGTCATTATATATTAACAAAAAGATATTGAACAAAAGAGCTGCTTTAATTTGCAGTCTACATGTTAACTGGTGCTATTACTACAAATCAAGGAAGTTCTATCAAAATGTCTCCGGTATGCTTACAATAAACTTTATTAAAAGACAAGGTAACATTCACATATAGTGAGTTAAGGTGTTCTTGAATCTGATTGAGTTCAAAAATTCAAATGACCATCACATGATTTATGATGGCTGGGTCTGAAGTACATGTATTTGAACCAACACATCAAAGTGTCGTCGAGTGTGTGATAATTGTAATCAACAAACAAACAAGAGATTATTACATCACTGCAGTTCACAAGGTCACATGATGTCATGTTGAATTGTAGTAGGACACATGAATAGTAAATAGTAGGTGACAAGTTTAAATTTTAAAATAGCAAAGAAGGTTAAGCCTGAGGAACTTTAAAAATTCGTAAAAAATTCAATTTTGATCGGAATTAACTCAAACTTTCTACACAACATAAGTACATGTATATGCATCAGAAAATGTAATAAAAGCAGAGAATTCTCTCCTAACAATTTTTGGGGAAAATACCCTGTACAATCAATGTTACTATTTATAGGCTCACTCACTAGTTTTAATGTTTCACCTATAAATACGAAATACACTGAACAGAATCCAAACTGCGTTATCACCAGAAACACGTTCACCACAATCCTAAAAAATAAAAAAATAATAATACTCAATAAACAATAATACAACAGAGGCTGGCTCAGATACATGCATAAAAATTGAAAGAAAAACAACAGCTGTACGATAATGAAAGAGAAGATCACAATTAAGTTCTTGTACACAAAGTAAAAGACAAAGAAAAGCTCTGACAGCTATTTTTGTAAAATTATTCAACTGAAAACTTCACTTTCAATTTAATTCCACACAATGACAATAACAATATCATGATTTCTACTTACTTGCCGGCTCGAGAGACTCTGGAACTAGCTCCTCTTTCTTTTAGAGCAAACTGCATCGTCTCAGAATAATCTAATGCAGAAATGTCATTCCTATGAAAAAATAATTTATAATTTAAAATTGCTACTAACTACAAGTGAATTTATAATAATAATAATATAAATGATTATTCCAGTGTAGTCTTGCTTACCATTCACATAATTTGCTGGCACAATCAACCAACATTGTCATACAGTGCATAGCTATAACACCAATCACTAAAATACCTATTGTACCAGCCTGGAGGAGAGAGAGAGAGAGGGAAAAGGAGGATTAAACATGCAAAAAATGACTATAGAAATCTCTTATTTATTATTATTACATACATATACATGTTTAAATTATAGATATATATTCATTTATTTTTCAGACTTACTATGTATCCAGCGTTTTTAGTAGCTAAAGGTATTGATAATAAACCTATGCCAACGTTTCCTTTGAGCAAATGAATGAATGTATCTAGATCACTAAAGGATGGAGAAAGAGAGAGGACATATAGAAAGGAAGGTGATCATTAAAAAACATCAAACTTGATCTATAAATATTATTACATTCACAAGCCAAGTCAGTATCACATCACACTGTAAACATGTAACTGAAATCATCAGCCACTGCTGACTCATTGCAGTACATTTAGGACAAAATAATGAACAAGATATTCATTAGAGGAGAGTTGATAAAATGAAATCATTGGACATTGTATCACATTTAGGACAAATAATGGACAGGTATTCATTAATCAAGGGGAGAATCAGTAAAGCGAAATCATTTTCCCTTTGACCTCATAAATATAATTAGCCATTACATGCATTGATAGGTATACTATAGTATTTGAACTATGAGTCACCAGAGTAAGAAGATTAGAGTAAGTAGATTAGAGATACTGAAAGGAGAATAATGAAGATACTCCACTGAATAGTTTCATGAATAGCAGACAAAGTAAATATGTCAACAAGCAAAGAACACTGAGAAAAACTAACTGTATTATCATTATCATTATCATTAGCATTAGTATCATTATTATTAGTATTAGTATCATTATTATTAGTAGTTTAGTGCTCGTTTAGCATCCAGTTTGTATATAAACAAGGACAATAGTTAAACATACAGTGTAGCATATAAACATATTATAGACTATGAACCAATTTATGTAATCCTATTGAGAATTATGAACTTCAAAACAAAAACACAGTGGATAAACACACTGTTATTAGAAATGAATTAAAAAGCTACAGGCCACCTTATAATAATGACCAGATACCATAATATGGATAGGGTGGCATCTGGTGATTACCCAGTACAACCACAGTCAATCCTTTTCCAATCATCAGACCTTCCTATTAAAACTGACCTCGTTGCATGCTCTACTCTTTTTTGAGCATTTTTATCTGATACATAGGACCAGTCTGCTGTCAGGTCATCAGGTCTTTCGCTCTCTCCGAACAAGAGGGTCCTATTTAGGTTATCTGCAGCTTGACTGCGTCTAGCAATATTACTACTGGAGGTACTAGAGTTACTTTGTAAAGACCTAGGAGAGATTAATAACGAATAATGACGATGATAGTGAATAATGAAGATGATAATGATAGTTTTGATGGTGCTATCATCATATAGGGGAGTATTGGGTTCGGCTTGTGGCTAATCTTATCATTTCCTAATACAAGAACGGGCAGCAGCATGATGATGATGATAATAATTACAACTTTCTATTCCACTTTAATAAGTGTTAAATCAAATAGTATATCTACTAGAAGCCATAAATAACACAAAAATACTATATATCGGCTCTTAAGCTACTCTGGACGGTTAGTTTTAAGAGCCAAGGTAGCAAAATGAAGGCAAACTTACATGTCGGCCAAATTGTGCTGTATTCCTCTGCCTGGAAGGATTTCAGTAATGTCTACTATTAAATGTTCTGTCGAAGTAGAGGAAGTAGAGGATGAAGGGGAGGGTGCTCGCTTGTTTTTTGAAGACATCTATTCTACAACAGGAAGGGATTGTGTGCGAGTTTTAACAAGAGAACTGCAAATTGCAAAATTGATATAATAACCAGAAGTCACGCCTTATATAATAACCTGTATGCGCACCTCGTGAGTTTTGTACACGTCCGGACATGCTGGGTGGAGTGGGTGTGTGAGTGTGGTTGGAGGTGTGTCTAGCTAATAACAAGTTAACAACTGCAACAATATAACCACACAGTGATTCTCCATAGATGAGTGTTCCCGCAGCATACCTACGCGAAATGAATGCAGCAAGAACAAGGGCTATGAACTTGATAACGGTATCTTTTCCTCACCGTCCAGTGCAAGAGACAGCTATAGGAGCAGGTCGAGCTGCAGCCGTTGCTGGTGATAGAGTCTGGTATAAGAATGATGAAGACTATCATCATTGCTTTTTGGTGGAACCTGAGCAAGAAGTGGGAAAAGATTACTTTTACAGAAAAGAAAAAATGGTAAGTAAAAATGATTTTAGCACTCATTGCTGTTGCCATTTTAGGTTGTATGTCACTGCAAAGTATCCAAAAACTGTGTTGTGTGATTAGGCCACTCCAATAAGATTCATAGTTTCCCATTACAGAGGCGGGCCTGATGCGGGCGGGCGGGTTTGTTCATTTTCATTAAATTTATTCATTATCAGCTGTATAAATTGCTTGTATAATCAATGAAAAACCGCAATAATGAATAGCGATGCGGCCCCATGCGGGCGGGTAATGGGAAACAAGGAATCAAATTGGAGTGGCCTTAGTACACATTATTATACTTACATTTACTTATTTTATTGCTGTATATTGTACCAAGTTTTTGGTATTGTTGTCTTGTTGTACCTATCAAAACTGTGTCACATGCTGCGTAGCTTCTACCACGTGGGCATCCTTTTATGTGCCCACGTGTTTTTTGTACACGTCCGGATTTGACTTAGTTTCGTATACGGAACCATAGCGGAACCACACGATCGATCGATCGATCGACGCGACGACTAGTAGACCACACCCAACAAGATGGCGGGATTGTGCAGCAATTCTATTGATGGGGAAACGCTAGAAAAAGCAAGAAGAGAGCTGAATGAAGACCCAGACACTAGAGAGCAAGTAATTGCTGACTTTAGGGCAGCCATAGAAGAGAAAGAAAGTGAGTTAAAAGAAGCAAAACTCCATTTTGAATCAAAGACACACCCATCCTTAATTATTATGAATAACAGATGATCCAGAGTTAGAAGGTGTTGTATTTGAAAGAAAGGATTCCCCTTTTCTCTTGCGGTTTCTCAGAGCAAAGAAGTTTGACCAGTCTCGCTCTCTCTCCCTCTACATGAAATACCACACGATAAGGAGAGACCACGGAAAGATATTCACTGAAGACGATTCATCAGCAAACCTATCTCATATTCTTAGCAGTGGGATACTGTATGTGTTGAATGGGAGGACAAGGAATGGAGAAAAGGTGGGGAATATTTTAAATAGAGTAATTTTTGTTGCATTAAAATTTTGCATTTATTGCCAGTTTCAATTGTCATCATAAATAATCTAAAAACTAGCAATTTAAGGAATTGAATAATACTCTATTTTAGGTGGTATGCATTAGACCAGAGAAATGGGACATGGAGCAAGATCCAGCTGAACGAATGATAAGAACTGTCCTTTTAATTCTTGATAAATTACTGGAGGATGAAGAAACCCAAGTAGGAGAGAGGGGGGGAGTAATTGTGGACATTATTTTTATGTCATTTTGCAGGTTCATGGCATTCGTGTTTTTGAGTATTTTCAGGGTATTGAATTCGGACAACTTTGGAAGTTTTCTCAAACTGAAGCAGTTAAAAATGGAACCTTCGTTAAAATACTGCAAGTAAGTTTCTGGTGATATAGTATAGCCTCTCTTAATGGACACTCTCTATAGCGTACACCTACATTTAACGGACAGCACCTAGTGTACCAATTACATTCCGTACTGTATAAAATAACCTCCACATAAAGGACACCTCTGTATAACAGAGACACTTTCTTGACCCAAAGTGTCTCTGTCCAAATGGAGACTAAAGTCTCAATTTGGTTATAATTATAGAGACTTTACTGTAGCTGTACTAAGTACATATGATTGAGAGTCATTTCTTTTCTACAGGACAGTACACCTATCAGACTGAAAGGTGTCCATTTTCTTTGTCAGCCCTGGTATATTAGTCTTGTCCTTACGATCGTAAAACCTTTTATGAAAGAAAAACTACGTCAAAGAGTAAGAATGTAGAAAATAAAATTAACAAAAATTATTTATAATGTGTATCTTCTTGTCTCTACAGCTACATATACATGGTACTGATTTCACTGAGTTACATTCGCTAATGGATACCAGTCTATTACCAGCTGAGCTAAACGGAACCGGCCCTCCTCTTGAATATTTCATTGCCTCTCGTCTGTTTAAAGATGAATTAGGGGAGCAGGGAGGCGGGGCTGAGGGTGTGGTCAATCAAAATGAAGAGAATGAGCAATGACATGTATAATTATTTTAAATGATTATTGTACAATATTTTCTATTTTTAATGCTGGGTATTATTAATAAATATACATTCTATTCATTTTTATAATTATAATTGACATTAAAAATATTTGATACAACACAATAAATAATGAAAAGATATCAATATTAATCATAAATCACGAGTTCTTTAGTATATTGTCACTAGTTCTATGAGAGTTCAAGGTACTTGATTCATCAGAGACAAACTGATCCTATAAAGACCAACAATCCATTTATTAGTAATACCCACTCACGATCGAAAGTACAAAACAAAATACATGTACAATAGAACCTGCTATTGTGGACACTCTAAAATAAGGACACCCCTATAATCAAGGCAGTATTATTGGGTCCCAAGGTGTCCAGAATAGACAGGTTTGACTCTACATTTACAATTATCCCATGCAGAGTCTGATCGTGAACATAAACTCTTCATTAGACTGTATGCATGAAGTATACTATAGGGACTATGAGTCCCATCCAAAAATTGTAATTCTTTAGTACTTAAATGTATGAACACAAATGAGACAACAGTACCTTATAAATCATTCCAACATTGTGAGGCTATCGTGGGGCGCACACCATAACAGCAATGAATATCATTAAAACTACAAGTACTTGTACATGTACTTCCTCTGCCCATCTCTTACTCCACAGTATGACATTAAGACTAGTACTAACCTGATCATAGATGACTTTAACTATCAGAGAGCAGCTAGGGCATCTTGCTATCTCTTCTCCTCCCTCTAAATCCTCCTGCAAGAGAGAAATGGATTGGCTGGTTTAAGTCACGTGACAGCACGTGTGTGTTTACTTTAGTAATCTCGAATTGATCTCCACAGGGACAGGGATAGTAGTAGGTCTCTGTTTCTGGGTCGTACTCAAAGTCCTCAATCTCTACTTCATCGTGGAATATGGACATTGCTTACTCACTTCTTTGGAATAATCCACTGAATTTTACTAAAAATATACAGTCAATTTACACGTGGTTAGAGTACTCGGAGCCCTACGCCGCATACTTTCAGTACACCAAAGACATGGTAGTTTACAGAAAGTAAACGGTGTAGCTCCGATTACTCTAACCACGTGCTATTTTCTTCATTCCTGGCTCCACCCACTTGTGTACAAGCTAATCGAGATAGAGGTCGAGAGATGCATCTGAAGGAGCTATTGAACAGATTCAATGTTAGGTAAGCCCCTACCTCCTTTTGGGACGCCATTTTGACTTTATTTAAACAGTCACTTCCTCTTTTATTGTCTCCTGATACTTCAATTGGTATTGATTGGTCTGAGAGCTGATGGTATCATATCGGGTCCTTACTCCGCCCTATTCTTCCCTCTCTGGCTATGGAATGTTTTAGTGGGCGTGGCAGTTGTAATGGGCGTGGTTAGATGGTGTAAGAGCAGCCGAGACTACAGGTAATGCAATGCATGTACATGTAATTAAACATTATTAAGTAATTATATATTTCATTTTTTCTAATGCATTTTTACAATCGTTAACATTATCGACTCATTTTAGTACATGTATTTTATTAATTTTTAATTATTTTCTCTTTTTTTTCTTTAGAGAAGACAGTGAATTGTTGTATCAGTTCAAGTCAATGTTACTCTCAGTTTTCTTTCAATCCTTTATCTTCATCACTCTTCTACTGATAGCAGTAAACATTGATACCTCCTCTATGCCGTGGTCGGTCTCCCTCTCTCCTCTCTTCCTCCTACCATTCTTCAGTATCCCTTCCTGTCTCTGGAGCTGTTACCGGAAGAGATCCTACGAAGTTAGTTAGTGAATCTCTCTCTCTCTTTATGTACAATGTAGTTTTTGTACATACATTTGTCCTTACATTTAATACTGTTGGTTGGTTGTCGTGTTAATTTATTAAGCATAGACTACTCAATGGTTTCATGTAAGATTTTAGTACTTTTGAAAATACAAATATTTGTATTTTATTGGTGCTAATAATGTCCTTCTTCTTCTATTTATAGATTGAAGTAATGTCTATGGCCTTTTTGTTGCAGTTCATTTTTCTTGCAGTTCGATTGGACGGAGCAGTGAACTGGGCGTGGTCTGTAAGTCAATTAATTATTACAATTATTATTATTATTATTATTATTATTAATTAGGTTGTGTTTATTCCAATATGGCTGCTCTTCCTTGCATATTTAGCTGGTATGATTGTTATGGGCGTGTCCACTGGTCTAGTATATCTTCTTGGTGAGAATCAGCAGGATCTTGAACAAAGGAAACTTCCAGACATACTCTACTTTGTATTCTCCTCATTATTGCTACTCTGTCTAATTATATTCATGGTAAATTACCGAAGATGCATTATGCATGTATTATGGTCATTTAAAAAATGGACCATTTTTTGAAAAAATTCCTGTACTATAGCACATGGTTTTTTCCGAAAAATGGCTCCAAAATCACCCCCAATTTTTATTGCATTTTCTGATACATATTGATGTACTTATGCTGTGTAGAAAGTTTGAGCTGATTCCGACTTTGATTTTTCAAGTTACGGCCATTTTAAGAAATGGGCCAAAATCTGAAAAGTTCCCTGTACTATTATAGCCCATGGTTTTTTCCAAAAAATGGCTCCGAAATGACCCCCCATTTTTATTACATTTTCTGATACATATTGATGTACTTATGCTGTGTAGAAAGTTTGAGCTGATTCCGACTTCAATTTTTCAAGTTATGGCCATTTTAAGAAATAGGCCAAAATCTGAAAAGTTCCCTGTACTATAGCCCATGGTTTTTTCTGAAAAATGGCTCTGAAATCACCCCCAATTTTTATTACATTTTCTGATACATATTGACTTCCTATTATTATTAATTTGTTTAGAGTTTGCTCTCAAGTCGTTTGGATAACAATATCACTGGTCCTTATTCTGCCATTTTGATCCCACTCTACCTCTCCTTGTTCTGTCTCATTGGTCTATCCACCTGCAGGAAACCAACAAACGTTTGTAAGTTTATAATTAGCACATGTTACGAAATTTAGTAACGTGCACTTACAAAAAATTGGTACAATATCAATTTGCACATATTATTATTATTATTATTATTATCATCATTGCAGGGTGGTTTGGTATAAGAAAGAGTTTTTCAGATTTCCTTCTCCTCTCCGTTCCTCTGCTACAAGAATATATCAACGTCTCTTACTACAACAACCAACACACTGTCCTACCAACCAAAGACGATGAAGACAAAAATAAAATAAAAAAGAAACCAGAAGAACCAGGTACTCTTGATTGGCCGTACGAAGATATTTATGCTCCGGAGTGAAAGTGGGTGTGGTCGTAGTTAATTAATTAATTATGAAAGCTTAACAATAAATATTATTTTTTAATCATTTTATTTTCTCTCACTGTAAGTACATCACTTTTTTAATAAAGCCTTTCAATTAATTAATTAATTTTGGGTGTGGTGGTGGGCGGAGATTATACATTTCAAAGTACAAGTTTATGTAGCTGGATATTACATTATTCTTGTGTTATTGTTATTAATGTATTTCACTGTGTATCAGTTACTTGGAATACTCCTCCATATTTAGAGTGTTGGGCTATTGCCTGCAGTGTTAATAAAGGGTTAATAATTAAAGTGGGTGGAGCTACTAGATTACCTCAAAATTATTAATTATTTGTTGATATTTTTTCTCCGAGCCGAGCGTTCTGGTTTTGCCCTCGTCGGCAAAATAGTCGATAAATGATATTTGAATGTGAAACGTCTTCAGACTTTTATGAGTATCTGAAATAAAGAATTTAGAAATTATCCTTTTAATTATAATTATTTTAAACATACATGTACATGTACATTCCTGGATGTACATGTATGATCAAAGCATGCCTTGTTTAAAGAGCTGGTAATTCTCTTTAATTATAACGATTAACTAATAATGATTTAAAGCACATTTTAAACATTCTCTTTTGTCAATATTTCACACGCGAATCTTGCCAGAGTATAACGGAAATTTTTTAAAATGAATTTACCGATTATTTTTATGACTGCTTGCGGCGATATTGGGGTGTGTGTTAATTGGAGTAGTAAGAGAGAGGGTAGGATGGATGAAAAGTGATTGGCCGTCTCGTAACTGATCTGTGGCCCCTTGACGAGATGCAACGTATGTAGGCGGGGCAGACGTGACACTATAGAAAAACATAAATAAATAATAAATATTAATAAATAAAAATGGATACATACTTAGTTGTGTTATTCCAGATATGGTTAATCCTTGTCCTCCAATAGTTAGTTCTGTCAGTAATGGAAACCCTTTCCCAATATGATACAGCACTCTGTCATTGTACTGCTTATCCAGCTCTTCATCTTCCGTTGGGTACAAATGGAGGGATTGTATCCGTGGGCAACCGTTGCTTAGTGACCATATGCTCTCGGGCGTGGGCGGGAATTCTTCTGATTGGTAGAGAAGGAAGACGAGAGAGGGAGAGGTGAAACTGGTTATCCAAAGTGATCTTTCGGTGATTCGTAAAGGACATTGTGAAATTGAGAGAGACAGCAGAGATGGGCCAGCCTTGGAAAGTAAGGCCTTTAGCCCCGCCTCTAGCCCCGCCTTTTGTGAATCAATGTAACCCTGTAGGTCTACTTTGGGCGTGGCTGGGGGCGGGGTCAATCCTAGCGGGATTGTTTATAGTTTTGTGTTTATTATTGTGTCTGTTACCTTGTAATATGATCTGTTTTGTTGATGTGCAACTATTGGCTAGTTTTATCAATACCTGCATGAACATATGAAGATAATACAGTATTGTATTAGATTACCTACTACCCCCCCCCTCTCTCTCTCTCCCTCCTTCTCTCTCTCTCCTACATCTGAGTCCAGTCTGTAGTCACTAAGGTCTATCAGTTCCCATAGTGATGGGTGTAGACTGGCTCGTTGCCACTGCCTTGAAACTCTTCCCACAAGAAGCAGCTCAGAGAAGGTGAGAAACCTAAACACTAGAACCAGCGCTAAGGTTGTATTGTCTTCACCTGCCAGTAGAATAGAAGCAATAGTGTGACAATTATTATTGTGTCTCACTGACTGTAGTCATAATAAGACTCCTGTAATGATTCTTGAGTCTCTTTTGTCTTTGTTTGGCTCTCAACTCTTGGCTCGTGTTTCTTTATGTTTGCTAGTTCTTGTTTTAGCTTCTTTATTGTACCTTGGAGCTCGCTAATTCTGCAAAAGTGTGGGTGTGTGTTTGTAGAGAAATGAAGCTGATTATTATTTACCAAATATGATTTGTTGTCATAGTGCATGACTTGTTGCCATAGTACTGCTAGTGGTTGGTTCTTCAATGCTTTTATAATACATAATTGGGTTAGTCTGTGGTTTTTATCGAAGTGATTTAGATATTTGGATTTTTATGATTTCATGAAGTCTCTTACTGCATCCTATCATGTTTCGCCTCAAGCTCTCTTGGCTTCTTTCCTTGTCCATCCATCCTTCCAGTCCCTTTGAGGAGGCCAGAACAACGCCCCAGGAGAGATTGGAGCTCTCTCGCCTTCACCTCCAAATCCTCCGCCATTGTGGGCCGGGCTCGTTATCTGCAAATTATCAGTAGGCGTGGCTGTGATGCGGTCGCAAATTACATTTTAAAAGGACCATTAGTGCTGCATTAGTAGCAGAATTTGTAATCCAATACAGCAATAAAAGCTGTTGAGGAGAACTATTAGTGCTTCCTGTAGTTTATTGACACCACAGCTAATTGTGTGACCAGTTCCTTTGAGTCTATATAAAGGAGAGCTGAGCTGGACTGATCCATTTTCCGAGCAGATATTTCGACAGTAATTTGAGAAAGAAGGCTACAACTTTAAGCAATGATGATGCACGAGAGAACTCCTACTGTTTTTCCTACGGGGTCTAGAGTAAAGAGGGCCTCGGAATCTTCTGATGGAGGCTCTCCACGGCGGAGTAGTGAGGTGAGAAAAATGTCTGCTACCAGCAGTAGCGGGAACACACCGTCTAAGACTGATGTTGGGAAAAGAGTAAAGTTTACTGGGCAGATGGACAAGAAGGAGAAACACGGGACACTGAGGTAATTGGTTTGTGTTTGTATGTTGTTGTAATAATAATAACAACAATAGTATAGTACAAGCCTATATTTGTGTAATGTACATAGCTTTGAAAATTAGCACTATTTGTCTAAACATAATTTGCAGCTTACTCTCTCCTTTGTCTCTCTTTCTCTCTTTGTTTGTGTTACCTCTCATTGCTACATACACTTCTCATTGCCCCTTCTCTCTCTCTCTCTCTCTCTCTCTCTCTCTCTCTCTCTCTCTCTCTCTCTCTTCATTATTATTTCCTTCTTATTTATTTTCTTCCTGTTTAAGTCATAATAATAATCATGTCTAGACTAGTCCTTTCAAGCTGTAGAATTCACACCAATGTTTCCCATTGTCTCTTCCTAGATATATTGGCAGTCCAGAGTTTGCTCCAGGCATATGGTGTGGAGTAGAGCTTGATGATCCCCAAGGTCGTAACAATGGCTCTGTTCAAGGAATACGTTACTTTTCCTGTGCTGCTAATTATGGGCTATTCGTTCCACTTGGGCGTGTTGAATTAGACCACACCCCCAGGCCAGCTAAGGTTCCTCGTCAGATTCCAGATAGGACAAAGAAGATCAAAGCACTCATGAATAAGAGCAGCAAAGGGAAGGAGGATCCATTCTTTTATCACACGTTTTCTGGTGTCCCTCGTGCTTCCTCTATTCCTTCTCTTAACATGATTGAGTCATCTGGTCGCTCATCAACTTTGAAATCCTCTAATAGACAGGCCGACTGGTCTCCGTGGCAACAGGATAGCTCCGCCCACAAGTTTACCGACATACCAGGTATTAGGATAAATGATTCTCTCTCCTCCTCCTCCTCCTCATCTTCTCTTCTTAACAAACGGTTCATATCTGAAGCTAACTTATCTCGAAAGTCTAAAAGCACCAGTGGAGAGTCTCCACTAATATCAATCACTAACACGCCATCTCCTCAAAGAATCTTCCGGAAAACTTTAGGTAGTTTATCAAACGAGACTGACATTGGCTCCTCCTCAATTGGCTCCAGTTTAAGAGGGTCGACCAGCTGTAATGACCTGAATCAGATCAGTAACAGCCCGAGCCCTAGAAGAGGTGTCAGTCATTCTGTGCCATGCACTCCGTATGACTCTGAAGACTGCTACAGCAGCGCTTCAGATCTATCACGTCACAATAGCATATCCTCTGATTCTGATCCAACCCCTCACTCGTCCTCAGCTAGTCCTGAGTATAATGAGAATGCTTTCATCTTGAGTCCAACTCATTCTACTTCAATAAAGCTTCTCTCTTCTCCCGAATCCAGTCCCGCCCGTAGGATCAAATCCCCCGGTCTTTCTACTCTTGCCTCAAACCTGATTGAGGTTTCTCGGTCTAACGGAGCTGGAGAATATCGGGGACCTTCCCCCGAGGGGCCAGGGAGCCAGAAAAAGTTTCAGAACACTCATGGGGGTGGGCGTACTTTAGAACACCCCCTGGTGAATGGATGCAGTGCTTTGAAGACTAGAGACAGTGATGAAGAGAAGCAAACTGAAGTGAGTTATGAAAGGTATACATGTACAGGTACATTTTTGCTATTCTATTATGTGTACATGTACATGTACATATGTGTATTGTTAGTCTCACCCCGCCCCTTCGCTACTGTATTGTGTACTCTATGACACATTCATTGTATTGGTTTGTGTCAGTGGAAGGTACTTTCAAGTGGAAGGTGGGGGGATTGACCTGTGGTACGTTAAGATGATAGAATGTAACATGTCCATGGTTTCACTTTTAATATTTGTATTGATATTTCCAGCAGTTTACATTCAGTTCTAAATATAGGACATGACAGCTAAACTTATCTCTCCCTTTTGACTTCTCCCTCCTTCTCTCTCACCCCTCTCTCTCTTCTCTCCCTTCCTTTCATAATTCTTATAATATTATCTCATATACACACATATAGTATAATGTTACTTATAATTCTCATTGTAATCATATCTCTACCATATCTCATGCATCATGGATACCAGAGCAGTATCCATAACATGCATGTACATGTATTCATAATTATACAACATACATACATTGTACATATTTTTGTATGTACGTGAAATGAGCTAATAATGCATTAAGTCCTCTTATCTCATTATTATTAAATTATTATAAATTATTATGAATTGTTTCTGACTTGCAATCGCTTCTCTGAAGCTCCACAAGCTCTTACTCCAGCACATTAACGGCTTATCACTGTAAACATTTCAAGCGAATCATTTTATAACTGAGTCATGATATCAGCCACTTTAACTCTCTTTTCATGATCCATAGGGCACCATTAGTCGTCATAGCAATACAAGAAGTCCTGATGAAATATTCAATCAGTTGGAATCGTGTTTACGTCAACAAAGTAAGCCACACCCAGAGACTGTATTACTCCACACCCACACAATGACCATATCTCATACCACTGGGTATACTGCCAGTTGTGATTGACTATTGTTACAGTTATAGTGATTATTATTATATCCATTTCTACATTTAGAGTGTTATTATAACATATATAAATGATGTAGTATTATCTTATATTATGGTTATACAGTGCTATATTGGATCAGTTTCTAGTCTTGATTATACTGATAGGGTAAACCCCTGTCTTTGATTGTCTTTCATAAAGCACCTTCATTATCTCTAGTGTGAACAGATAGAATGAGTCCTATCATATCTAGTAGTTCTTATAATAATGAAATATGTGCTTTTAGTATGACACACAGTGTGTAGTGATTCTTAAATGTACTTATAATGAGTTAATTATATACTATTAGTATTAGACTCTGTCATTACTCATCAGTTCTAATTCTATAGTTCTGTTTATGCTAGTATTCATAGTATACTCACCCACTCTCCTTCCTTATACCATTCACTTGTACTTATAAGCTACTGTGGTTTAATGATATTGGCTATTTTAGATAAAGATATTAATTTCATTACATTAAGAAGCCTCAATCTCCCTCCCTCTATGTCTCCATTACTTGTTTTCCTATGAGCTTGTGTTGTTGTTATTCATGAAAGTGTGTTCATTCCTATACTGCCTTTGTTGTCATTATATTATTGAGTATCCATTACTAATGAACATACCATACCTCATCACTGGCTACTGATCGTTTATGAATTATTAGTTTGTTTACATGAAACAACAACAACAACTGATTGTTGATGATTTAAACATGGTTATATTTGTTACTCTTCACTTTCTTTCTTTCCAACTTCTTTCTCTCTCTGTTCCTCTTTTAAAGGTCTGACTGATTCTCGTGTCAAAAGTCTCGAAGTGTCTTTAAACTCATTTAAATCGACTCTACTCTCAGCAATGAAAGAAGGTATAATGATGATGGGGATTAGGGAGGAGGAGGGTGGGGTACATGTAGGAGGATGTGTACTTGTAAATGACATAATTTTATTAAAATAGTTTTACTGTTGTATTCTATTACTATCAGGTACATACCGTATTCATGTCCTTATGCTGTGTAGAAAGTTTGAGCTGATTCTGACTTCAAATTTTTAAGTTATAACCATTTGAAAAATGAGCCAAAATTTGAAAAAATCCCTGTACTATAGTACATGGATTTTTTCAAATTTTGGCTCCGAAATCACCTCAATTTTTTATTACATTTTCTGATACATATTGATGTCCTTATGCTGTGTAGAAAGTTTGAACTGATTCTGACTTCAATTTTTCAAGTTATAGCCATTTTAAGAAATTGGCCAAAATCTGAAAAGTCCCCTGTACTATAGCCCATGGTTTTTTCCGAAAAATGGCTCCGAAATTACCCCCAATTTTTATTACATTTTCTGACACATATTGATGCCCTTATGCTATGTAGAAAGTTTGAGCTGATTTCGACTTCAATTTTTCAAGTTATGAGGTTTAAAAGCCCCAGGTCCTGGAACAAAATGCCCTAGCTCCTATATTACAGCCTTGTTGTTAATGACAATAAATCACTCAATGATAGTGATATTAAGACAACTTGTAAACAAGGGCAGGTACTATTAGGTTAATTAGGCGAATTATGTTTATAGCATGTGTTAAGCATGTGCTCTTTGAGGTCTGACTTTAATTCATTATAAGCTCTTCAATAGAAGAGCTCCTTATATGGTTAAGATTTTATTGATAATGAGTGAGAGTGTGTGTGTGTGCATGCAGCAGTTTTTTGAAGTATTATAATGGATTATAGTGTACATGTACTCACTGTATGGGTAGAGAATGTTTTGAGATAGTGCATGAGGTTAATTGTATTGTAGTGATGGCTTCTGTTACTAAACTGTGTCTATCTTTTCCTTCTCTTCTCGTCTTCCTTCACTATACACTACCCTCCCTCCTCCTCTATCTTTATCTTTATTTCTTTTTGTGTAGTTGAGGAATCCTTTCATAAACAGGTTAGCTATCAAGTTCATATAAATACAATATGCTATGCCTTCTTAATTTTTTTATTCTGCATGGACTATAGTGTCATTTTTAATGCTAAACAATCATTTTTGTTTTTGGAAAGTGACAATGTTATCAATACTAATGTCTTTATTAGGTTGAAGAATTGAAGTCATTTCATAAGAAGGAGGTTCATGAGTTACAGTCAAGACATGATAAGGAGCTAATGGAGATGCATTCAAGTTACCAGTCAGCCATTGAAAGTGAATGCATCAACCATTCTTTATCCTGTACTTTATAATTTCCTTATTATTTAGAGTTAAGACAAGAGATTTCTCACAAAAGGAGTTAATAGAGAAGTACTAATACTAGTCTCATTAGATCATTATCATTATTATTATTGTGGTATATTGTTTTATTTATCTTTTTATAACTTTTCTCTCTGTTTGATATAAGAACTGCAGATTATAGACATATAATTCTTGTACTTTGTGTTCATTATTATTATTGGTAAATGTTAAAATAACTCGACGCTACTCAAGCTTACTACTTAAGCAGTCAAAATTACTAAATTACTACTTATGCTTACTACTCAAGCAGTCAAAATTGTTTTTATAGGACAAAGGAAGTGGTGTGAATTAATCAAATTCCTTTCTTCTCATGTTTTTCTTCTTCCCTTCTCTTCTGTTATTCTCATTGCCATTGTTTTTCTTCTACTTAAACATGTCAAGCACAATAGAAGCAACCCTTGACAAAGAACTTGGTGAGTATACTATGTATTTTACTTACACTTTGCATAGATCTATACAATGTATATACAATTTTATTTGTTTTATAGGTATCAATGATTTGTATTTGGTCTGGGAAAAGGCAGGTGTACTTTCTGGACGCTGGGACTCAATTGGAATCATATTAGGTCTCAGCCCTGACAAGTTAGATAGCATTGAAGCAGCGGGTAAACCACCAGAAACAAGTCTGAGAAAAGTTTTTGAGTGTTGGTTAAGAAAGGACTATGATTATCAAAATCGTGGTGCTCCTACATTACGAATGCTCTGCAATTGTATTAGAAGTAAAAGTGGAGGAGCAAACCCTGCCTTAGCTGATGAAATAGCAAATGAATATCCTACAAGTAGCAAGAAGCAACCTTTGTCACCTGTAGACACTGACCCATCTTCTAGAGGTATCATAATGATTATAAAAGTATAAATTTAAATCAATTTTTTAATTATTATATATAGAAGTTAGTCCAAATAGAGAATTGACGACACCTCTTACTGCACCTGATACTAAAGCTACATATGCTAGTGGAAAATCAAAAGAGTTTCCTGTTAATGACATATTGAAGCAGATTGATGAGCTACAAAGGTTATATGCTTCTAACATGTATAAAACCAAAGAAGCATTTCTCTCTCTCAAAAGGAGTGCTCTTTCTAAAGTAATTGATTATATTCAGTGTCACATCATCAATCTACTGAATCCACGTTTTCGAAAGCAGCAGTTCATTGATAAATTACGAGAAGAGTACGACAAAGTTCAATCAATGAATCAGTTATTCAGAGTACTAGAGAAGCGTGTCTCCTGGTTTAATTTTGACTTTGTTGTCCTTTTGATCCAAGTTTTTATAACAGATAGAGAAGTCCAGCGAATTTGGTCAAATTATTCTGATTTACTGAAAGATTATTTTAAAAATAACAATGATCAAGCAATTAAAGTTGTGAACGGTGTTGAGTTTGGTGTATCAGATGCTCCTGGTACTCAAGTTATGATAGCAAAAGTTGCCAATGATGATTACACTTTGAATGACTTATACTTCTTTCATAAAGCAATTGCTGAGGCACTTAAAGTTTCAGAATACAAATTTTATTTTTGTGAAATTGATGATGGTTGCATGGAGTTAAAATACTCCATTCCTGATTTCTTATATTCAACTCTTTTTCCTTTGACCAGTCAGCAATGTCGTTCATTGGCTGAGATTAGTATTATCAAATTGAGCTGTAATGAACATGTACATGAAATAAAACAGGTAAGTAATGAGATTTTTAAAAATAAAAATGTGTTGACTATTTTTTAATCATATATAGTTACCAGAGAATGAATTAAAGAAGCTCTCTCACTTTGCTATTGGTAATTGAACAATAACCAACTGTGTTATGTTATCATTTTGTACAGATATTAATGATCCTTTATGGTATGAGAATACCAGCACTCCACTCATTGAAGCATGTTGGAGAGGATTAAAAGATGAAGTGCAATGGTTAATGGATGAATCTGGCTCTCAAGATAGTGGTACAAATGGATGGAATCCACCATTAGCTGCTTCATATGGTGGCCATTTTGATGTTCTCGAGCTCCTCATTGATGTTTATCATTGCGATCCTTCACAAGGTGATGATGATGGTGTTATTAGTTTACACATGGCCTCATATAAAGGCCATCTCAATATTGCACAGTATCTAGTTAATGAATGTCACGTTGATCCAGACATAGCAGATAGCTCTGGTAACACGGGATTGCTTTACTCAGCACTGAGTGGTCACGTTGACCTCGTGATTATGTTTTTAAAGAAGAAGTGTAACGTGTCTCAGGTGAATAGAGAAGGATCCACTTTATCATTATTAGCATGTAAGAGTGGACAGGTAGCATTAGTTGATCAGCTTAAGCAGTTTGGTATTTTCTCAGAAGATGACATAGATTTTACCGGATGTGGAATAGTACATTATTGTGCTATAAGTGATAGTGTAGAGCTTCTAGAGTATCTTCAAAAAAATTGCAATGTTAATTTAAACAAAAGAGATCGTTTTGGCACAACACCACTCCACATAGCATGCCAGTATGCTTCATCAGGTTTCATTATGAAATTGGTTAATATATTTGGATATAAAGTATTACTAGAAGCTGATTATAGTGGTCGCTCTTCTCTTCATTACTTATGCAGTGGATTGGTTGATAAATACTGCATTACAGAAGTGTATAATAAGCTCACTGCACCATGTGATATACCTTTACTTAAGCAAAATGCTGCATTGAAGGTAGAATACAAGAAAGACTGGCATAAATACCGGTACATTTCACTAAATATTAATGTTACTAAACAGCATGAAAGAGTGAGTCTTTTGTCCGCACTCCTCAAGAAGACAAGTGTTATTAATAATTTTGATATAAATTCTGTTACTGCTACTGGTCAATCATTGGTTCATTTAGCATGTACTAGTGGTAGTATATTATTAGTGAAGGTATTAGAGGAGTATGGTATTAATACAAGTTCATTAGATTATAAGGGTCGGTCTGCAGTACATTATGCTGCTTTATCAGGTTCACCTACTCTACTCAGTTATACTGTATCTGAGTATAGCTTGAATGCCAGTCAACCAGACTACAAAGGTGTAGTACCATTAGCATTAGCTTGTATGTCAGGTAGTATCAATGCAGTAGAATATATTATGAATACTACTGACATTGATATTAATATAACCTGTAATGAGGGTAGAACACCTCTTCATTATTCATGTTGGCATGGTAACCTTGAGCTGAGTCAATATCTCATTGAAGTACAAGACAGTGACATTAATATAACAGATAATAAGAAATGGAATGCATTGGCTCATAGTGCTGAGAGTGGTAACATGAAGCTAGTTCAATACCTCATTAATAATCATCAATTGCCTCTCACATCATTTAAATTACTTGAAGCAGTATCTAGTACTAAACTATCATTAATTAAATTATTAGTTAATGAATATAAACTAGATCCTCATGTTAAAAGTGGCGATGGTAGGCAAGCAGTTCATTTTGCAGCTGAAGTTGGTGCTATTGATGTCTTAGAGTATTTAGTAAAAGACTGTGGATGTGATTTGGATAGAGTAAATCAGCTAAGCAACGTGAATGTGTTTCATTATTCTACATTTAATAGTAATTTTTTATTTATTAAACACATTATTAGTAATTATCCACAGCATACTAGTCTATTATATTCTACTAATGATAATGACACTCTACCAGTTCATGCTGCCTGTAGTAGTGGTGTTGTACAATTGGTTACTTATCTAATTGATGAAATGAAATGTGATGAAAGTACTGAAAATAATAAGGGCTTCAATTGTGTCACAAAGGCATGTGAGTCTGGTAATCTTGATCTTTTAAAATTATTAATAAAACACTACAACCTTAATCCTAGAATATTCAGCAGAGTGCCATCACCATTAATTGCAGTTAGGCAAGGACATGTTCATATATTGGAATGGCTCAGACAAGAGTATCATATCAATGTAGTCTCATTTAAGAATGGTATATTACCTTTTGCTGCTGTACAATACAACCGTTTGTATTGTTTAAAGCATTTATTAAACAATTATTTATTTGACATTAATGCCGCTTATCCTAGAAATGATACTAAATCTACACTCCTTCACATAGCATGTCAGGAAGGACATGTTGCTACAGCTCTCTACCTCACTAGTCTTCCTCAGTGTGATGTATCAGCTAAAACTTCAAATGGATCAACAGTTCTTCATTTATCATGTAAAAGTCGTTCTCTTCCTATACTCAAACATCTAGTGGAGGAGCATCAGTTGGATCTCACTATTAAAGATTACAATGGAATGGCTCCAGTTCATGTAGCCTGTGAAAAAGGATCATTGAGTATAGTCAAGTACATTATAGACCATTCACCATTATCTCTTGATATGACCGACTCTTTTGGACGTACTCCACTACTTATTGCAGCTTTCTCTAAGAACCTTCCCATCATTCGTTACCTCAACAGTAAAAACTGCAACATTTCTATACTGGACGATAAAGGGTTTAACGTAATACACATATCAGCAAAGGGAGGGGCTTTGGATATATTGAGGTTTTTCATTGATGGTCGTTACTGTAATCCTAATATCACTGATGCTTCTGGTCGTACTCCACTTTATCTGTCAGCTCAAGAGGGTCACTTGGAAATAGTAGAATATCTATTGGATAGTCCAAGCTACAATAAACCAC